GCAAAGCAAAAACTGCCTTGACTTGCCCTCAAACAACGCTTTCTAACTCTAAATCTATTTGGAGTATCGATATCATTCTTTCACCGTAAGAGACAGCAGGCTTTGGTGAACAGTCAGAGAAATTTTCAGGTCTCTGTGGAAATCCAACAAAAAGTTATGACGAGAGAAAAAAGTGGTTCATTTCCACAGTTTGAAATCTGAAGAAATCTGAGCGAGGGACAAATTTCCTACCCTCAAACAAGTCCAACTCATTTCAGAACGGTAATAGGTGAGAAAGAAATTCTTGAATTGTGAGCGTCAGGAGTGTCTGAAGATATACCGGGACAAGCCTCATGTCTTAACTTTGCTTCGTTAAGGAGATATGACGATTCGAATATGCCTCTCATTACAGAAATGCAGCGATGATTTTGAACAAGCTCTCCATTGACTTTATATGGAGAGTTTTGTGACCTTGTGTTGGTCTGAGGAGATTTGCCAAAATTCTATAAATCCCACAACAATGATAGTGACATTTTCTGAAAGCCAGCAAAAATACCTACGTTTTGATGTATAATTTGTGGAAGTTGAGTGAAAATTGAGCAAGTAGCAAGAAGTTGTTCGGACATGAAGTGAAAATTGCAAAACCTTCAGTGACACACTGGAAGCCAAGAGCATAGCAACCATAACAACACATGTATTTTGTGAAAAATCACAATTTTGCAACTCAAAACTTTAAGAGGCATAAAAGTAAAACGGTAAAAGATTTGAAAAAGCTGAATCATACATGAATAGCCCAATAATTTGTGAACATTTTAAAGTTTGAATGGTTTTTCTAGGCGAAAGTATGAGGAAGTAGTTAAGTTTCAAAAACAAGCAAAATTTAGCAGAATTTTGGAAGTTTTCCATTCATTTCAATGGGACAAATTAAAGGAAAAAAGCTTAATATTTTAAAAAGTATAATAGCAAAAAATAGCAAAAATCATAGCGCAAATTAGCAGAAATAGCAGAATAGTTTAAAGTTTGAACGGTGAAAATAGCACAAAAATTGTGGAAGTAGTTAAAGAACGAAAAACGAGCAACTTGAAGAATAATAATAACTAGAAAATTTGCATTTCCTGCGAAAATGCAGTGTGGATGCTTAAAGCTGAAGCTGTATGCAAAAAGTAGCTGAAAAAGCTGAAAAGTTGCAGAAATTGTAAAAACTTTGCAGAAGCAAAAGAAGTTTGCTAAAATGGAATAACTTAGCAGAACTGCAATATCTTAGAGGAAACATAATACTTGGCAGAAATACAATAGCATAGCAGAATTTAGCAGAAATATTGTAACTTACCAGAAACATGATAACTTCTCAAAAATACAAGAATTTAGGAGAAATAGTATAAGATAACAGAAAGAATATATTTAGCCAAAAATACTTAAACATTACAGAAACACTATGATTTAGAAAAATAGTACAACAGAGCAGAAATATTGTGATTTACCAGAGACACTGTGATGAACTATGAATATTGTAATTTTAAATTGAGACTATGTTTTAGCACAAATATTATAATTTGGCAGAAATACTATAATTTAGCAGAAATACTATATTAAGCACAAATCCTATAAAAAGCAGAAATGGCATGATTAAGCACAAATACTACATTTAGTAGAAATACTTTGTTTTAGCACAAATCCCATAAAAAGCAGAAATACTGTACTATGATTTAGTAGAAAAACTATAATTAATCAGAAATACTAAATTTAGCAGAAATACTATATTAAGCACAAATCCTATAAAAGCAGAAATAGTATATTAAGCACAAATCTTATAAAATAGCAGAAATGCTATGATTTAGCACAATAGTAATAAGTTAAACAGAAAAATTGGAAAAGCAAAATGGACAGCTGAAAAAATGCTGAACATGCTGAGGGTCCCTCAAATATACTTGTTAAATGACAAAAATCTGCAAAAAAATTTATTACAGCCACACAATCACAAATATGTACACATGAGGAAACACACATGCACATAGAGACCCACACACAAGATCCAATTCAGTCAACCAGTCTAAATATATTGAATTTAAATCTTAGAATGAGATCATCCCATTAAAAGCCTCTCTCTCTCTCTCTCTCTCTCTCTCTCTCTCTCTCTCTCTCTCTCTGTCACAGACACACACACACACACAGGGAGAGAGGACTAAGTTTCTAGGTCAGCCTGGGAACTGCTGAATTTGAATCCACCAATCAGAGAGCCTGTGCACTTTTCCCCACCAAAACAGGTGCATCTGTTTACACACGCAGCAGCACAGAGAGACACAGGATTTTTGCAGTCCATTTCTCATAGTGACGACTCCCTCAAACAAATGACCGTAATTTCCTAACCGTAGGGGCTAGAACGGTCATTCTTACACCGTTTTGTTCAGAAGAGGTGGGGGAATCTTCAAGTGTTGACAATTTAATATTAAAATATGAATTTTTAGAGATATATGACATGGATGACTTGTTGACTTAGAAGCCACGAATTCCCCAATATGCAAATTTGAATACCTGGAGCCCACATACATGATTGGCTGGCTGGGAAGCTGTGCAGGCCCTGATTTGTGGATTTGAATTCCTCAGCCCTCAGATATGATTGGCTGGCTTAGAAGCCATGAAGGCCCCAATATGCAAATTTGAATGCCTCAGGACACATATATGATTGGCTGGGAAACCGTGCAGGCCCTGATTTGAAAATTTGAATGTCTAAGTCCTCACAGAGGATTGGCTGCCTGGGGACCTGGCAGAAATATATAGAAATACTATGATTAAGCATAAATACTACATTTAGTAGAAATACTATGTTTTAGCACAAATACTATAAAAAGCAGAAATACTATAATTTAGCAGAAATACTATATTAAGCACAAATCCTATAAAAAGCAGAAATACTATATTAGGTACAAATCCTATAAAAAGCAGAAATACTATATTAGGCACAAATAGTATAAAAAGCAGAAATACTATAATTTAACAGAAATACTATGTTTGGCACAAATCCTATAAAAATAATAAATACTATAATTTAGCAGAAATACTATATTAGGCACAAATCTTATGAAAAGCAGAAATAGTATCATTTAGCAGAATAGTAATAACTTACAAAATTACAAATATGAAGGCATATTGAAACACAAATGCACAGAGGGACACACAAACACAGGCTCTAATCCAGTCAACCAGTCTAACTATATTCAATTTAAATCCTACAATGACATGCTGCCAAATAAGGGCAGGGTCCTCTCTCTCCCACTAAACACACACACACACACACACAGACACACACACACACACACAGACAGACACAGAGGGAGAGAGCTGCCGAATTTAAATCCACCAATCAGAGTGGCTGTTTACGTTTTCCCGCCAAAACAGGTGCATCTTTTTACACACGCAGGACAGAGAGGCACAGGATTATTGCAGCCTATTTCTCATAGTGAGGACTTCCCTCAAACAAATGACCATAATTTCCTAACCGTAGGGGCTAGAGCGGTCATTCTTACACCGTTTTGTTCAGAAGAGATGGGGGAATCTTCCAGTGTTAACAATTTATCATTAAAATATGAATTATTAAAGATATTAGACTTCTAATGCACCATAACTGAGCAGAGCGAAGCAAAAACTGCCTTGACTTGCCCTCAAACAACGCTTTCTAACTCTAAATCTATTTGGAGTATCGATATCATTCTTTCACCGTAAGAGACAGCAGGCTTTGGTGAACAGTCAGAGAAATTTTCAGGTCTCTGTGGAAATCCAACAAAAAGTTATGACGAGAGAAAAAAGTGGTTCATTTCCACAGTTTGAAATCTGAAGAAATCTGAGCGAAGGACAAATTTCCTACCCTCAAACAAGTCCAACTCATTTCAGAACGGTAATAGGTGAGAAAGAAATTCTTGAATTGTGAGCGTCAGGAGTGTCTGAAGATATACCGGGACAAGCCTCATGTCTTAACTTTGCTTCGTTAAGGAGATATGACGATTCGAATATGCCTCTCATTACAGAAATGCAGCGATGATTTTGAACAAGCTCTCCATTCACTTTATATGGAGAGTTTTCTGACATTGTGTTAGTCTGAGGAGATTTGCAAAAATTCTATAAATCCCACAACAATGATAGTGACATTTTCTGAAAGCCAGCAAAAATACCTACGTTTTGATGTATAATTTGTGGAAGTTGAGTGAAAATTGAGCAAGTAGCAAGAAGTTGTTCGGACATGAAGTGAAAATTGCAAAACCTTCAGTGACACACTGGAAGCCAAGAGCATAGCAACCATAACAACGCATGTATTTTGTGAAAAATCACAATTTTGCAACTCAAAACTTTAAGAGGCATAAAAGTAAAACGGTAAAAGATTTGAAAAAGCTGAATCATACATGAATAGCCCAATAATTTGTGAACATTTTAAAGTTTGAATGGTTTTTCTAGGCGAAAGTATGAGGAAGTAGTTAAGTTTCAAAAACAAGCAAAATTTAGCAGAATTTTGGAAGTTTTCCATTCATTTCAATGGGACAAATTAAAGGAAAAAAGCTTAATATTTTAAAAAGTATAATAGCAAAAAATAGCAAAAATCATAGCGCAAATTAGCAGAAATAGCAGAATAGTTTAAAGTTTGAACGGTGAAAATAGCACAAAAATTGTGGAAGTAGTTAAAGGACAAAAAATGAGCAACTTGAAGAATAATAATAATAATAATAATAAAGAATAAAGAGAAACAGGAACTCAATAGTGTGGATGCTTAAAGCATCCACACAATAATAAATCCGAGCAATAGTAATAAGTGTGCCTTCGCATAGGCACACTTAATAAGAAGCAGTACAAAGGTTTCTCCTGGACAACCCAGCATCTAACAAGCTTCATATAACCCTTATGCACCGAGTGTTTTAAAGAGGTTTGAAACAGAAGTGATGCTGTACAGTCAGACAAGGAAATCATAACTGAACTTCATTGCTTTTTATTACACCAAAGCAGAGCTGATAAGGTTGCATTAGGACATATGAGACATGTGTATTGTCAGCTCATTAAATCAGTATTGGTATCCAATAAAGGTGTTGAAATTCCCAAAAGCAGCTGTGCTGTAATGTTTTTGTGCCCTCTGTCAGTTATTTGGCTGTTAAACTAAATCTTACTCCCTACAGGAATACGAGCGAGAGAAGTATGCCCACAGCGTGCTTCAGTTCCAGTTCAATGAAATGAAAGAGGCGCTAAAGCAAAGTGAAGAGCTCCTAAACGTGAGTACCCCCCATCACCCACTCACTATGAGTGTGAAGCGTTTTGCAGATTTCCATATTTAAAAAAAAAAAAAAAAAAAAGTCTGTCCTGTACCTATACTCTCTGTCACACAGAGAGGCTGCATGTTGGGGTGCTTTTCACAGCTTTTCCTTCTTTTCCCGCACAGTTGATACCTGCTCTGCTTTACTTTCATTCTTTTACACCTTTGCTTTCCTTTCCCTGCTGTTTAGGAGATCCGTCAGCTGCGTTTGAAACAGGAGGGTTTTGTTAGAGAAATAACTGATCTGCAGGAGACTGTGGAGTGGAAGGATAAAAAAATTGGGGTATGGCCAATGAGTCAGCAGTTTTTCATTTAATCATATTCAGCTTACTGACATGAAATCGGTATCTTCTTTGCATCACCCTGAATGCCTGTTTTTACTTGTTTTCACTTCTTGCACACTTTTAACTTTGTTTTGCACTCTGCAACACTTTTGGGTGGGTGGCTCTGCTCAGGCCTTAGAGCGACAGAAAGAATACACAGATGCAATCCGAATTGAGCGCGATGAGCTCAGAGAAGAAGCTGTGAAGCTGAAAGATATTCTGAAGGTACTCAGTGTGTGGAGAAAAAAAAAAACACTGTAAGCTTTAGTTGTTTGGGAATTGCTGTTCTGGTGCTTTCCGATGCTAACAATTTATTCTACCTGTGCAGAAACATGGAATAGTGTTGGGACCTGATCTGAGCATCAATGGGGATGTTGACGTGGCAGAAGCTGATGAGTCCTCCAGTGTAGACCCTGCTTCCCAACCAGCTCAGGAGTCTCAGACGACCCCAGCAGAGGGGAACAGCATGCTCGGTAAAACCCACTGTGGAATTAAAAACTTCCTTCCTTCTTACTGCATGGCTCTGCGTACAACTGATGCAAGAGTCTCATTCCAAAACAGTAACGATGAAATAGAACATGTTTTTCTACTATTGGAGTCAGATCTGTCAGATTTTGGAGTGAACTCTTCAATTCCCAGCTTCATGCGTTATATATCACTTAGACTCTGATTTGCACTGATCTGTTAAGGATAAGCTTGGTGATCCTCTGTATTTTTCTGGTAAAAAGGAAAAACTAATTCACTAATCGAGCCTTCATCAGTTACTCACTGTCCAGAAGCGTTAGTCCTTAAAAAGGCTAAAACCATTAACCATAAATATATATTTTTTTCTCTATAACATAAATTTCCATCGTTGTCCATGAACACATTCATGTACCACACAGTTGGGGCAGAGTGCATGCTCCGTCTGTGGACGCTATAAAAGATGTGCACTGGTTTGACTGGAGCAAATATGAGAAATTTTATTTTAAGTTTAAGTTTGGCCTTTTTTTTAATCTTTCACTAAAAAGAGGCATACTTCTTCAGGATACTGGAGTGCTAAGTCATCAGCTAACACTAGAAACTTAGCACAAAACATCACACAGAGGCTTGCTGTTTAGTGCTAAGTTGAATATTAGATGAAGTACTAGAATTTCAGTTATAAAAACTAGAGCACGAGCTTACTTCTTAGATGGATTTTAAGACTCAGCAAGCCATATGAGTTTTATTTTTAGTGACCTGAATTAGCTGAGGTAAGCCCTAGCAGCTACAGCCGCACGTGTATGTGTCACTCTGTCGATGAGAGTGGCCACGCCCCTAATAATGCAAACTTTAAGCCTTAATCCGAGTTCACGTTAGTTAATTTAAGAAATTCAGCCTTCATTCAGTTGTTATAAAGGGATAAATTAGTACCAGTCTGTAAACATGTTTCTCTTCTTCTGCAAAGTTTTGCACATTATCGGCTAAAGCGAAGTCAGACTGTAGTGGGAGACAGGCTGACATATTACTGAGAAGCAACTAGAAACATAACGAGAATCACCTCTCTAAGCTTTTCCTTTAAAATATCATCCACTAACAGAGTTGCTTTTTCTATATCATCTTCCATTACTAATGCTTGGCTTTCATGTAACTCTTGCACCTCAGTCACTTTCACCAGAAACACATAAGTGTTGAATCACGACTAACTTTGCTAATGCGGCTGGTGTTGGTGTGTAAATCCTGATGCATCCTACAGTGAGAGGGTTGAATGGACTTCTTCTTAAAAGTCAACATCTGGTGTGTGTAGCGAAAATTCAGTTGGAGTATTCCCTTCTTCTTTTCTCTTACATACTCGGGATCAGCAGCCTTATTTTGATTTTCCTCCTGCCTTTCTTCTTCTGCTTCTTTTTTTTTCTTCTTGTGCTTCCTGGTCATCTTGGCGCTCTGCTTCTCTTTCTGGCCTTTGAATCAGCCAGGTGTTCTGCCTTACCTGGACTTCTGCTGATGCGCTTCCTGATGAAGTGTTGAAAGTCTTGTCTTAAGCCTACACTTTTTTGGCCTTCCATCACTGTATGCTCTTCATGATCTCCCAGGCAACACAGAGGAGACTGAGTTGAGAAGTAGCAGAGAAGAGGAAGAAGTGGGTCCAGAGCAGCAACAAGAAATGCACGAGAAAGCCAAAGAGAATCATATGAGCTCTGATCTTCTCTGTAATGCTGCTGATGTTTCCACACTGAAAACATCCAGTGAAGAACAGCCTCAAGAAGAACAAGAGACATGCTTACCTGCAGAGAAAAACAACATTGCAGAAAATGGTCTCAGTGAGGACTTAAATGCAGAAATCAGTGACTCTCCTGGTACAGAACCCAGTAGCTTTGAGCTGAAAGAGATTGTAACAAGTCCTGATGTTCCAGAAACAGAAATGTCTGAGGAGGTTAATTTAAAAGAGACGAGTAGTCTAAATGTAGTCGAGACAGATGCCAAAAGTGTTAGTGTTGACACCAGTGAGGTGCAAGACAGCAAACAGGAAGCTGTTGAGAAAAGTAGTTTAACAAGTACTGAATTATGTCCTCAACAAAAAGTTGCAGATGTTGCTCCAAAAGAAGATTTAACCGATGAATCCGTTCCAACTGCTTCCAACATTGAAGCTCAACCTGAGCCTGAAAATGCAGAAGAGGCAGAGAACGATGAGGCAGAGGAAACGCCCAGTAAATCTCAGCCTCAGGGTACTCCTGCTTCAGGGAAAAAGAAGAAAAAGAAGAAGAGAGGCAAAAAGAAAGGAGGGGCTCAAGACGACAAGACCAAACAGAAAAATGAAACGGCGAATGAAAAGAAAAAAGACAAAGAACCAGCAGGAAGTAATGATGGATCTGCTGCAGAACTTACTGTTGATGGCTCTGTCACTCAAACCTTTAAGGAATCAAAGATGGATCCAGTCAAGGAAGAGCAGGACAAGCAAGAAACTGAGGAAGTCAATGCAGTGGAGCCGATCGAATCCAGTAAATGTAAAGAACAAACTGTTTCAAATGAGTGTCATGAAGAAGAAACTTTGGAAACAAACACAGTAGAAGAAGCAGAAATGGTAGTACCTGCTCAGGCCATTTGTGAAGCCCAAAAAGAAGTAACAGTGGATCATGTTAAGGATGAACAGAACCAGGGACAAACTTTAGAAACAAAGGCCACAGATACAGTAGAGGCAGAGGAACCTACTCAAAGTTTGTCTCATGCAGAAATTCTCGTGGAAACTGAAACAGACTCCAAAATTGATGATGAAGACACCAAACAAACTTTAGAAACCAACAAGATAGAAGAAATGGAAGAAGTATCACCTTCTGAAAACCCGTGTCAAACAGAAACGCTCAGCAAAGTAATAGTGGATGATGTTACAGAGGAACAGAATGAGGAACAAACTTTGGAAATAGAGACTGACAGGGCAGTAGAGACAGAAGAACCCACTGAAAGTTCTTCTCATTTGGAAGCCATCAAGGAATCAATAGAAACAGATTCCAAAGAGGGTGATCAAGAGGAGAAACCAATTTTGGAAGTAGAGACATTAGAAGAAGTGGAATCTGTGACCTGTATTGAAGACAGTGAAACTCCCAGTGAAACAATAGCAAATCACGTTACAGAAGAACAGAATGATGAAGAAACTTTGGAAACAGAGACTGTAGAATCAGTAGAGGCACTGAGAAGTGTTGAAACTCTTGAAGAATCCAGAACAGATTCTGAAAAAGATGAACAAGACCACAAGCAAACTTTTGAAACAGAGAAAGTACCGGAAATGGAAACGGCAGCAAATCCTGACACAGAGGCCAACATCTGTACAGCCGAACTCAACTCCAACAGTGCAGAAGGCACTGATGGCCTTGACAAAGAGTGTACGTCCAGTGTAGATGATCCTGAAAGGGTCGGTATCTCAACTGATGGTGATGCCATCCATACTGATCAAACAGAAGAGAAAGTAGAGGCTGCTGATGACAGGAAATCTGACAGCACGTCTAACAACACTGAAAACAGCCATGAAACGAGCAGCAACACTGAAGGAGAATCACACGTTGCAACCAATTGTGACGTTGCTGCCAATGACTCAGAGTCTGCTTCTGAGAGTAAAGACGACACATTCATCCTGCCACCGTCTGCTGATGACTCCCCTATTGGTTCATCTGACATGGAGCCATCCGAAGTTATAAACTCGGGTACAGATGACCCTCCCACTGACGTTACCAGCGAGGTTCCTGAGGAGTCCACTGATGGGGAGCCAAGAGCAGAGACTGAACAAGAATGTCCTCCTGCCATTGTCACATCTCCACGTCAGGATGGTGATAATTCAGAAAACAAAAATCTGGAAGAACCCAAAGATTTAGTTAATCCAGATGAAAAAAGCAACAGTTGTGATGGTGCATCATCAACAGAAAGCCCTGAAGCCTTAAGCACTGAGACTGCAGTGCAGGACGAAGAACTAAAGGTCAGTGCTACTGTCGTGTTAGATACACCACAGGCTCCAAAAGAAGCTACTGAGACTGGTTCTTCAGCTGATCTGGAATCGGCTGTCGTGGAAGATCCCCAACATAAAAACGATCAACATGAGGAAGCGTCATCCTTGTCAACTGAGCAACCGCATGAATCCAACAAAGACCAATCTGAAAATAATAATCAGTTGGAGAGTGAAGGGGAAGAGGATGAGGAAGATGAAGGGCAGTCTTTTGATTTTGATGACATGGATATCGAAGCAGCTGAAGAATCGACTCGTTCCCAAAATCCAGAGCAGGAAGAAGTTGATGAGGGAGTTGAATTAACAGCAGATGAAACCAACGATGGGCTGTGCCAAAGTAATGCCGAGTCAAATGAAAACAAGCCAGCTGAAGGCAATGATGGAGGCAACCAGGCAGATAAAGACCCAGATATGGTGCCTCAAGAAGACCAGAACTCTGTGGCTCATGAGGAAGCTACCTCAGAAAAGGTGGAAAATGTGTGTGAAGAAGAGAAAAACACACATAAAGAAGAAGCCAGTGAAGAAGACCAGCCAGGCAAAGCTTCAGAGGAAGTCTCGAGCGCTGGAGCGCTGGGAGCTGTTGCAGAGAACATTAACCAGACTGTGTCTTCATCAGTAGAGGCAGGGATAGATGTGGTCAAGAATGCATTGCAGGGTGAAGATGCGAATTTACCAAATAGTGCAGACCAAGTGGGCAGCAATAAAGGGGCAGCACAGTCAGGGAAGGAGTCAAAGAAGGGTGGAAAGAAAGGCAAAGGAAAGGGCAAAGAGGAATGTAAGATGTCGTAGTCTACAGATGTGCTTAATATGCCTTTACTATTATTTTACTGATGTTTAGAAAGCGGTTTAAACCTCAAAGCACTTTGATTCTTTCCAAATAAATATTGATGTAAGTTTGTATATTTTCTTAATCTCTTTTCATTGAGCTCATTTGTGCAAACAAAACAATTTGTGGAAAGATGAAATTCTAAACTGTAAGGTAACTGTAGGTTTATACACATGGGCCATGATGCACTTGATATAACAGGTAACATTTCTTCAGATATTGATGCACATTTATTTTGCTGCTTGTACCATGTCACACATCTCTGATTATATTGCTCTCTAACGGTTCTGCTACAGCATCATTGCATCTCGGTGCAATTTCCGTCATCTACTTATGTCATGAGTCCACAACAAAAATAAATATTAATGGGTAATTGTTATTAAGACTTAAGCTAACAAGCTCGAATATGTTCTGTCCATGTCAGTGTTTAAATGAGTTTAAAGCCATTTTTGCTTTCACAAACTCTGCACAGAACATGTATGTTAGTGTCCGTTTCTTTTTTTTTCTTTTTTTTTTTGCACTAAATGGAAAACAACTTTGAAATGCTAATAAACACCCTGCTGTTACCTGTTTGAAATGTTGCTCTAAATAAATGTTTTTTAATGGGATTATTTTTAATTAGATATGTTCATTCTTCACATTTACACCTAAATATCATTTTTCTAGCTCATTGTGTGTTGTCATGCAGTGTGACTATAGTCCAGGAAGCTGTGTGCTGTTGCACTGACCCCTCCTCTCCACAGTTTGTGCATGCTAACACCCCCCTCCCATCCCTCACACACCACTCCATCACGCCCTCATTGGATGCCTGCTCTGTTGCATGCATCAACCCCAGCCCCCTCCCTATCATCTCTCCGGGTCCTCCCACCCCTGGTATGTGATCTTATTTTCCTTTTTAAGATGGAACAAAGTCGTTGTAATTATTAAACAGTTGCAAATATGCTGCGATTCTTTTTTTTTTTTTTTTTTTTTTTTTTTTTTTAACCTAAAACATGTGCTTTAATTTCAGAGATTCGCCTGAGGAAACTGGTGGATGAGCGTGAGAAAATGATAGAGCAGGTGAACAGGTTTATATTTCTATAAGTCTGTCTGGCACATCTGTATGAATCTTACTTCTCCAGTTGCACCAGCGCCTCCGGTGTCTTGTTTTAAATTCATCGTTTGTTTTGTACAGGTAAAGAAACTAAAAGCCCAGTTGGAACAGAAAACTCAGAAGAACGGCACAGACACCAGCCCAGACGCTGAAATTATTGAAAATGGAAACGATCCAAACATAATGGAATTACAGAGTAAGTCAAATAAATCAGAAACAGCCTGCTAGTTTTTAAGTTCGTGTCTGTGATTTAAAAAAAAAAATAAAAATTAATCTCTTTTTAAATTCCTTCTAGGGGACTCCAACAGGCAGATCAGCGAGTTGAAGTTCAAACTCGTGAAGGCAGAGCAGGAAGCGACGGCATTAGAACAAAATGTAAGCAGATAAAAATTATTAAATATACTGTGTGTGTTTTATTTTGAAATTTCAGCCACTGCTAATCAGCTAGCTCATTTCTCTCTCCCTGCATGCAGGGAAGGTCTGTGTTTAAAGGCCCCCAGTGTCAGATGGCTCTTTGTGATTCTTTGGTTCTCTGGTCAGACCCCAACTCCTTATTCTGCTCTCCATCTACATGTAGCATTGGATTAACAAATTCTCCACCTGTATGTGGGGTTCCTGATGGGGAGCTGAAGCTCACCATCTGCAGTTTAAAACTCACTGGAGAGGGAGCTGAACCAGTAAAACAATGAACTAACCAGTCTGACAAACACAAGATGAAATGAGCTGGGGCTTCTGCTTAGCACTAGCTGGATCTTGAAAGTAAAAGTTGAAAACATTTCAGACTTAATCTCTCAAACATATTTTAATTGGCTTTTCAAGTATGGAGTGTCAAAGTTTTTAAATTTTCAAAATAAAATGCTTGCTTTTAGCACCTTTAAAGACTTAAATGCTGAGCTTTAAATCATGGATTTTCTTTGTTGTGCAGGTGACAAGACTCGAGGGTCAGGTGACGCGCTACAAGTCTGCTGCCGAGAACGCTGAAAAAATTGAGGACGACCTGAAGGCCGAGAAACGGAAACTCCAGAGAGAGGTAGAGTATCGTTTTCTCACCCCAGAATTACAAGCTGGATAATCTAAGAGGCTCTAATTCAAAGATAATCTGTTCTCTTTCCTCCTGTTCAATCCAACAGCTGCGATCGGCACTGGACAAGATTGAGGAGCTCGAGTCCAACAACAGCCACCTTTCTAAAAGACTGGAGAAGATGAAGTCCAGCCGCGGCATGGCGCAGACTCCATAGCACCAACTGCAAGCAGCAGCTTCATCGTGATTTTAACCAAAAACTGGCTTAAAAAGGGAATCATCCAGTTTTCTGGGTTTCTCTTTCAGCTGCCTAATAGCAACTTTAATAAAACACAAAAAAATCACAGTTATCCACAGAATAGAGAACACCAACAAGCCATGTGCCATTTCTTTGTTTTCTTTCCGATGAGTGTTTTTCGTAGCATCATGCACACACCCAGAAAGTACATGGAGGAACTGAGGGGTGCGCCCGTTCGCGTACTTTCATTGTGACTGTGGTTGAACCAGAACCGGGCCCACAAAATGTTGCGCTTCCTCCCCAACTCTCTGCTGCTCTTCACCGAGACGTTTCTTCTCCGAAGTCAAACTGAGGGAAGAGACATTCAGGACGGTGCACGGCGCCGTTAGCGACGGCTCAGACTGTTACCTTCAGCTTCGTGTTTTGTTTTGTTTTTTTTTTCTTTTTGCATCCAAAGCCAAACTAGTTTTAAAATTGGGTTAAAGTCTGGGTGTTTGTCAACTATGCAAGATGGTTTTTGTAGCACCTCAAACATGATCTGATCATTCAGAACATTTTTGGAGTTTTTCACGTAGCCAGCAGTTTACTGAAAGTTTTTGCCCACAGCGTGTATCCGTCTCCTTCTGGGAAACAGTCGTATCTCGGAGCTTTTTCCTGCTTCACGTAGTCGGTCACTGGTTGGCTCTTGTGCACTCACGTAAAGGCTGAGACTTACTGACGAAATGTGACGACAGGGACTCAAAGCGGTGTTAGCAGGAGATACAGAGCACACTGGGGAGATGCTGCTTCACTGTTTACAGAGCTTTAAACTGTTTGTAAGGAAGCAAAGGACTGTAACCTTCGTGCAATAAAAAATTTAAACTGAACCATTTGCTGTTTTTCTATTTAGATGTGCTTTTAATGCACTGGTAGCATGTTTGCGATCATCGTCATGCTGAAAAATGAAGCTGTTGTCGATCACAGGCTTGCCAGATGGTACTGAACGTCGCATCAAAATCTGACTGTACTTTTCCTTGTTAAGTCCATCAGTTTTGACATCTCCAACACCACTGACTGAAATTCAGCTTCACACCATAACAGAGTGTTTTATATTCCTTCAGAATGGCTTCTTACATCGACCTGTCCACTGAGAGCATTTCTGACCAGGCTTCAGTGGAAACTCTAGACTTTCAGCTGATGCATTTCTCACGTCCTGTGTCAGGTGTTTGCTGGAATTGTTTCTGTTTCTTAAAAACATGCTTTTCAGATACTGTTCATCTGCTACATATAGGTCTTTAGGCCTGCTACTTCTTTTGTCAAGTTTCTTCAAATTTTTCTGTTAACCTGTTATCTTTGGCATCTTTTCTGACAGGCTGCGAGTAAAACAATACCTAAAGATAAAATACAACTTGCCGTTGGCACATTACCAGTTAATTTCTTTAGCTAGGTGCCTAGCATTAATTGTCCTAAATAACAAATAAGTCAAAAAATACTGGCCAACACTAGTTCTACCCCTCAGCCTCATAGGAGATTAATACATCACCTTTTTCTAAAGTTATGATTTTCAGAAAAACCTTGAGGTTAAGGTCACTTAGATTCGGACTTGTCTGAGATTTTTAGTAGCTGCACCTATGGTGTCACTTTGAAGTTCGTACGTCATTTGGTTCTCACATTATCGCATTCGCAAACTTGGGTGTCTGCTCGTCTGCCCGGCAGGTTGACAACAATACCTCATCAGCCTTTTACAGCCAAAGGGTAATAATGGAAATGGTCAGGCAGTAGGACTGGACTGAAAATGAGTGAAAAAGCAGCCAAGCAAAACTCTTAGACCTTTAGAGAGCTGGAGGACCATTGTTCACACCCACTTTAAAAATTTACAAGAAAGTCTGACTGCTTAGAAGCAAAATATAAGAGTCTGCTCAAGACTTTTGCACAGTATTTTATCTCTCTTCATGTATCACCACAAACATGGTCAAGCTGTCAATTGCCATTCAGAAGTGGCCACACCCCTTTCCATTCAGTCTTTAAGCTTTATTAAAGGAATAAACAGGTGAGCTGCATCCATGTTTCCTCTGTGGACTGTCTCATTTTTCAGCTCCACTTTCAATTTTTTGTACACAACACACAGTCAAACTATCAACAGTCGACCTCCCCGCTGAGCAAAGCAGTGCTGCTTTACTGGATACTTCACATGTCTCAGAACTCATCCAGGTTTAGTAAATGGACTGCTGGGTAATGTAGAGTTCTGCTCCGCGTCTATTTTCCCGTCGCAGTACGTCCTCTTCTGAATGCGCTGAATCATGCGCCGCCCGTAGAAGTCCCGATACTCTGCTGGCAGTTCATCCAGAGTGTGAAGCGCCCTCTCCAGGGCCTGAAGCGCTCGCGTTGCAGCCACGGGGTCTTTGTTACCGTACGGATCCTTCTTGTCGTAGCTGTCTGCAGGTAGATGGCGCCAGAAGATATTAACGCCCACTCCAAACTGCAGAGCGAGCGTGTTGTGAAACCACAGAGCTGTGGAAAACAGGGACGCTGGGTTCAGTCGTGTTTCATGTTTGGCTGTAGGAGGAATGAAGCACTCCACCTACCGGGGATGAAAAGCAGATCTCCGGGCTCCAGCACGCACTCGTATCTCTTTGCTCTCACAAACTTAGGAAACCGCTTCAGATCGGGGCGTCAATGTCCAAAACCTCTGACTTATCGCCTAATGGGAAACAATGAGAAACACGCTGCTAACCAAGCTCATGCCTGTTGGTGGATAACTTTAACCTGCGTCTTCAAAAACCAACATTTAGCAACCTGAATGCTAAACTAGTAGGTACTTGTTCTTCTAATGTGTTCGAGAAGATCCTGCAGATATCTCCCAAAACAGGCAACTCATGGCAGAATCATCTGCAAAACCTCTTCATGTGATTTTGGTGCCAACTGTCCCTTTACTAAGAGTGGACACAGTACATGTGATACTTTTTCAGCATTAAACCTAACAGGAAGTCCTGTTTTTTTACAGCCACTAACCTGACAGGTAGAGGTGCAAAGCATCCTGGGGGCTGTAGAGGACCACTCTCTTTGTTCCGGTCACCTGAGCCAGCAGGTTGTCCATCACCTAAAGAAACCAAAGTGCAAAAAACCAAGAAGAAGGGACCGTGCATGTTTAGAAAAATACACCGACAGTCCTGCAACAGCTACCTCTGAAACTCACATCGTAGTGCGTCCACAGCTGCAGACCACAGGAGCTGATGCGGAACACGCTGGAGAAGAACTGCTCAGGTTCAAAGAAGTCAGGTGTGTGAAAGTCCTCCGCCAAGCCCGGGAACTGTTTGCTGAGCTCAGCCGGTTCCTGCAGGAGAGAAGAGAAAGCTCCTGTAGTTACGACTTGCAATGTACACCCCAAAAAAGTCATCAGGCTCCATTCTTTGTGAGATTGAAAGTCTTCTTTGTACCTTTCGGACGTCCTCCCCAAGCGAACGAAGGTAGTAGCTCTCATCCTGAAACCAAACCCAGCAGTTTCTCATTAAAAGAATACATTTGTGTATTTTATTACGTGCTCTCTGATCCTCACCTCACACAGGAAGAAGTCAGAGTGTTTCTTCTCTGATGCTCTTCTCACAAATTCATTAAATGGCAGAGTCCTGTCAACGTGGAGCACATGACAAGTGTGGAGATTTATTGCTGTCTGTGTGTTTACATCTATCACTGTGAGGACGTATTGGCTCTTTGTAGCTTTAAAGAGCTGTGTGACACTCAGAGCTGGTTTAATAAATGCTCTATTCTTAAAAAGCAATACAAACTTGTGTGTGTGCACGTCAGCTTACTTGTAGGCAAAGTTCTTGTGAAGGAAATCCATCTGGGGCACCGTGGACACATGAATCTTTACCTCCTTGTCTCCTCCTTTTTCTCCAAGATAGTCAACTGTCCACTTCTCCAGACAGGGACCCAGAGACACGCCTCTGAGAACAGCCGGTTGACGCTGCAGGGATAACAAACCCGAGGAAACACTTCACTCCAGTCTTTATTACTGATTTCAAATTAACGTGCCTACGATCCAAAAGTTAAGCAATTTACTTGACCCCCACTGGACAATTGAAGATAACACAGTCCAATAGCAATAAAAACTTTTTCTCTGTACCAACATGATGATCCTTTAAAGAGCTAATTGATAAAAACCGGCATATGTCAGCATGGTGTGCAGTGTGTCCTTAAAAAAATGGAAAAAAAAAATGGACAAGTGGAGGACAAAAGAAGAAGCAGTTTCAGCGGCAGTTGCAGTATACAGTGTGTTAGGTGGATGAGTTGTACAGGGAGATGGTCACAGGCAGGAATGATTTCCTGTGTCGTTCAGTGGTGCTTTTGGACTAGACTGAAACTTCATCCAAAGAAGAGCTTTGGATGTCCTTCAAGAAACCTGGAGAACTATTTCTGAAGACTACTTAAAGAAAGCTGCCAAAGAGAGTTCAGGCTGTATTTCGGAATAAAGGTGGTCAGAAAAATGTTGAATTTAAAGTTTGTTAGAATTATACAAACTCCGTTTTTGCCTTATAAAATGTGTTTTATACACATTTGAATACACATACACATGTGTGTATTTGAATAAATTGCTGCCCCTATTTGCCATGTTCTGGGCAAAATACAAAGAAATCAGGGATGGCTGAGACACTGCACAACACTGCGTGCATAAAAACTTCCCTGATAGCAGTGAAGTATTAGTAACAAAGTCCAAGTTGATTGTTTTTACTGTGAAAGTTTTTCAGTTGTCTTGCATTGTGTCTGGAAAAGCTTCACACTTTTTCACAACCAAATTAAACCTCAGCCTAAACAATTTGTTAGCTTGAATGCTGAAGATCAGCTCTTTGATTTTAGGAGGGAGAGGAAGTGAAATATACTTTCTCAGCCCTCACATCCCTTCAGAATAAACGTCCGTTTACCTAGATTAGGATATAAATCATTCAAATTATCTCTAGCTGCGGCATTAAAGCAAACTACACGTAAATGAATCGATAATAATGATCCAATACATAATTCATGTGATTCTCCATAAGGAGCACTTTCAGTATTTAAGAAAATTTTGATGTTAAAACTTGGGTATTTTTTACTTTTATAGTGTATTTTCTGTGGCAATAAGAAGTGGCTGGATTCTTTTTATAGAGCAAGCTGTAGTGGGGAATTAAATATGTACGAGCGAGTGTGATGGTGCTCATGTGAACTGCTGCTGTCTCTTTTTCCTGCGGCCCTGCCCTCGTGCAGTGAAGCACATCCGTCTCACCTGTGGATAAATGTTCCTCAGAAACACCTCCCTGTCTACTGCTGCGAAGACCGGCACAGGTATTTTCTCCTGGAGCTCCATTTAACATGATTTGACGTAGAAAGTCTTCAGTCAGTGATTGTAAACACTCACACTGGGTGTTACGTTATCAAAGTTCCCCATAGAAACGAAAAATAACTGTAAAAGTTGGCTTTAAAAGAAAAGCGGAATAAACTTTAAATTATTCGTAACTGCTAGGCTTATTTTAATGATATTAAAAAAACTGCGTCACTGTGTGTTTTATGAATATCTGTTTGCAGGTTTTTAATGTGTGACGTGTTTCTAACCGGAAGATAAAAGAGGATGGACAAGAAAGCTTCGCCCAGAGCAGATATGGGGAAAGACCGTCCACTTCCTGTTAATTCCATTGTACATAAACTAGCTGTGGGTCAGCAGGAGGAGCAGCAGAGGACGCACTCAGGCTGGTCCTTAATATAAATGATCATAAAACAAAAAAGCCCATGTTTGTTTGTTTATTTTCACAAATAGAGCATCAATAGTGTGTCTCACCTAGATAAAAATGACGCTTATGTCCGTTAGCTTTTCTTACGGGAAGCCGATTTGCTCACAAAACGCTAGCATTTTGCTAATGCGTGCTGATTGGTCAGTTATTCCTCAGTAGTTCCAGTTTCCAAGCGATAACTAAATATTGGAAAGGTCGGTAAGCCAAAGGAAAACGTTAACCCCGTTAAACTGACAATGTTGGCTACAAACGTTAGATGCCTATCTAGCGAGCGCCCCCTATGAAGTCCCGAAGTTCAAAGAATGGCAGTTCTTCACTTTATCAGACGCTCTCTGGCTTCAGCAAACCTACGGAAAAAGATGGCGCTGCCCATGTTAAGAGGTTGTTTCAGGTTGCAGTCAACATTTAGCTTCAATCGCCTGTTTTTAAAAGAGCGACTCGTCCTGAACCGGCTCGGTAACAGGCGACTACCTCCCTGTTCTCCCGCCGCTGTCGCGGCAGCGGTCCGTCGCTATAGCTCGGACCAGGGAGAGCAGAAGCACCAGAAGGTTGTGGTGGTCGGCATCCCGAACCCCTTCATCTGGTTCCGCACCCGGATTTACTACTTCCTTATCAGGACGTACTTCGACAAAGAGTTCAGTATAGAGGAGTTCACGGAGGGGGCGAAGCAGGTGAGTGGAAGGCTGAGCTGCAGAGCCCAGATTTCCTCCGTGCTGTGTGTTAATGTGTTATTAATGATGGTGTGCTGTTTTCTGCAGGCCTTCTCTCATGTTTCCAGGCTGCTGTCACAGTGCCAGTTTGAAGCCTTAGAGGGCCTCGTAGCTAAAGATGTGAGTGCGCTAAATACACCCGCATCAGGCACAAATTCACTTGGTAACAGAGGAGAGGACCACAGGAAATGAGAGCATCGGTGGGCTGTTACAGAGCTTAAAGAAAATGTTGCTAAAGTAGCATAAACGTGCAAGAGCTTTAACGTTATAATTTGTTTAAAGTACCTGCAGTAAATTATGCAGAGTCGTTTAATGCACTAAAACAGGAGGAAGAACTGAAGATCGTCATTAGGAGTAACCAGGATTAGAAATGAGTACATCAGAGGGTCAGCTCAGGCTGGGCTGAGATGATTTGGACGTGTGCAGAGTAGGGCTGCCACGATTAGTCGACTAGTCACGATTACGTCGACTATCAAAATCGTCGACGACTGATTTAATAGTCGACGCGTCATTTGAAGCTTTGTAAGATCCCAAAAGCAGGAATAAGTAGCAGGATTTAAGAGTGTAATAACGGACTGAAACAGAAGATGGCAGCACTGCATGTACAAGGATGCCAGCTGCCGTTAAACCCCGAAGAAGAAGAAACTGTGTCCCAGAATTCATAGCGCGGCCCAGCGCAGTTGTCAACAATGGCGGCAGCTAGTTAGTTTTAATATTACTCTTATTATTCTTTCTGGGTCACAAAATAAACGTTTAACATATTTTCAGGCGAGAATGTAGCTGTGTAAACCTCAAATATCTGCTCAGTTTATCAAGACACCACATATTTTCAAAAGCGCTCCGACGTTTTCGGAGGCGTCTGTTACCCACTAGCTCGATAGCTAGCCGGGGGCCATGAGAGCACCGGACTCCCGGCAGATCGTTTTCAAACCCACCGCCCTACTCAGGTTAAACACATACAAGTCACTTAGATAACTTAAAAATGTTATTGTTTGGCTTTTTTCAGTATTTTATTTGTTCCTGAGTAAATCGGCTGAGTTTATTAAACTCCACCGAAACAATCTGCACATTTAATTAGAATTCAATTAACTATCATCTTGTCTTTATTTTTAGTTAGTACAGACCTTAAACACTTAAAGCTGTAAGCTAATGATAGTTATATAAGAGCAGATGCTGCTGGTGCAATAAGCTGTACTTTTACGTTCAATGGATGATGATCTGATTAGTCGACTAATCGCAAAAATAATCGGTGACTAGTCGACTATCAAAATAATCGTTTGTGGCAGCCCTAGTGCAGAGGAGGGACAGTGGATATACTGGGCAAAGGATGTTGAATAAAGAATTGTCATGGATGTAGTGAAGGAGGACAAGATGAGGGTTGGTGTGACAGAGGAGGATGCAGGATATGGGGTGAGGTGGATGCAGATCCATCTATTTGCTGTGGCAACACCGTTTCTGTTTACTGCACAGTGAACTTACCACATCAGACTGCCACAGCCGGTCTGAACCAGCTCTGAAGCTGGAGATGTCCACATTAATAAACCCTGTTAGGGGACTATTAATGTGTGGGAATGTGGAAGTGTCGTTGTTTAGCTCTGTGGGATAAAAAATTTGCCATATGACTTATTTTTATTTTGTTCTAACTGATAAACATTGGATGAAGCAGGGCTGGAAGGTAAAATGATCTCACAAAGGTTGGGCTGCGGCAGGCCCAGAGGACGGCAATTCAGGAAATTACCACAATCGCCAAGAGATCGTGGCTGTCACTGAAGTGTGAAGGGCTGCCAGTCACCCTGCAATCACCCAGGTCTGATTACACTGCAGGGTATCTTGTGATAAGAGGCCGGGGTAAACACAAAAGATGACGTGAGGTACTATTGGAAACATACCCGAGTTGTCAGCAACATCACCCTATCAAGTCCTATTAAACAAACAGAGACACTATGGAAAAGTTCACTCCTGTTTCCTCTCTGGACAAATCTGCTTAGTTGTTGTTTCACTGGTTGGTGAAGTTCTGTTAAAGAGTATCGTGCTGAGGGATTTTTGTTTTCTCTGACTGAGAAAACAAGGATAGTACACCTTCTCTGGGTGGTAAACAGTCGGTCACATGACCATAGGAGCATACCCTCCTCGAACATGACGACCTTCACGCTTTATTCATAACTGAGACCGTGAACTCATCTGGAAATTACTGCTGTCACAGAGCGAGGTAACTAATCGCTGTGCAGACTTATTTACAGTCAGACAAGCAGAGCAATCGCCCCCTACTGGCCATCAAAAGGAATGCAGGTTTAAGGCTTAGCATTGGCTTCATTTTATTACACCTGTCCATCTTTTAGACTGTCTGCCAGTTTGTGTTTTGTGCTTCAGGTAGAGAGCAGAGTAGCAGAAGGTTTGACAGAATAGAGACGTATGAAGGACATCTGTGTCCTTCTAAGTGCTTCTAAAATACTGTAAGGTGATTTAGATAGATTTAAATCACCTTAAGAGACTCCAGAGTAAGCCTAACTCCTCAGGTTCAGGGCTTTGCTACTAAATATGCAATAATCAAAACATCTGGCCTTGTTTTAAAAGATAAACTCAGGATTTTAAAGGCTTTTTATTTTGCTTGTTCTAAATTTCTCAACCATACAGCTGATTGGGAAGCTGGAGGAAAAGTGCAACCTGCTGCCTTCCGACTATAAGAAAGCACTGTCTGCAGAGCCCGATGAGATCATGTACACAACCCCGGGGATGTGGGAATCTTCTACGATGACAACGGTAAGCATGAAGTGTCAGGATTACTGGCAGGGTAAGACTGTCTGAAAGGCCTTAAACCTGCTTGTGAGTTTCCTCTGAAGTCTGAGGACTCAGACTGTGCTACAGACATCCAACCACCCACAACACACCCCAAAGAAAGAAGCACTGAGAGGCCTTTTAAGGTTTTGATAAGTTGACTCCCCCTCGTGCTTCACAGTGGTTTGATCCAGTCCCAGATCACAGAGAGACAGACGCTGGAAAAGATGAGAAGCTCGGGTGTGGGGCGGGGGCTTCACAGTCACTTTGCTTCCTATTTTGGCGTCTTCTATTCAAGACATGTGGATGTCTTTTCTGACTTGCAGCAAGTCTGCAGACGTTAGTATAAATGTTTACGAGGCTGTGATGATGTCACAGTTGGCGTGTGCAGCTGCGAATGCTGCGATCATAAAGAAGGTTTAAAACTGGGGTGACGTGTTCCTTCCTTAAGATGAACATGCACCATGTTTGTTTTCTTTTTCTTTTCTTTTTTTTCTTTTTTTTTTCCGCCTGTCCCATTTGGTTCTTTAGCCATCAGAGTTGTTGTCTGAAGACCAACAAGGATACCCAATGGATTTACTTTGCCAAATGGATCATCGTGGCGTTGCCGTATTGGTCCATTTGGTCGATCTTTGTTTTTATTATTATTATATTTTATTTTCAGATGTTACAGACGGGACAGACATGAGTGAGAGATAGGAAAGGGAGAAAGAAAGAGGAAGGAAAGGAAAAACAGAAGGGAGAGGGACAGTGAGAAAGGGGGGGAGAAAAAAAATAAAAATCTCCTGGATCACCTGTTGAGAGAAGAATAGAAAACAAGCAAAAAAAGACAAAAAAAACCCAAAAACAAAGCAACATACTAAACACAACACCATCGCATTAATCTAGCTAAGTGTAAACAGCAGTAAATACTAAATATTCAATGTTGTTGTGCAGCACGCAGGACAGATGTGCTTCGAAGTAGCAGCCAGGAAAGGTGTAATTTGGGTCTACGAGCAGTGAACACCCGTGTGCATACCTGTGTGGATCAGCGCGCTTGTATTCCAAAGGTTTCTCCATGTAACGATCTGCTAGGGAGTGTGGGGGGGCCACAGCCCCGTCCTCCAGGGTGTGAAGCAGGTATGGAGGAGATCAAAACTCCAGACATCCAGAGGCCCCCAGAACACAAGAGACCATGGAAGACCAACAGAGGGGCAGCCGCGCCACTGTTCCAGTAAGAGCTGAGGAGAGTCCCAGATGAGGGTTCACTCAGCAGCCGCGGAGCAGAAGTCAGGGGGAGTTGCAGTGACGCGCCCGTGAGCTCCGCCGGCCGCCAGCTGTGCCTGAGTGACCGGGCCCAGGCCGAGAGGCCGGGGGCACCCCACCCCCGAAGAGGCCCGAGCGAGCCCCAGGCTCCAGGCCCCGATAAGCGGCCGCCAAGGAGTGAGCCGGTGTGTACCTGGACGCCCACCCCCAGACACAAAGAACCACCAACGCACCAACACCTGAGGGAGTCCGCCACCGGCAGGGGAAGTGGTGGTAGGTGGAGATAGGCCTCCAAACCTTGGAGGGCCTGAGGTGTCCCAGAGAGCCATGTTTGTTTTCACTGGTACAACAAAGCCTCAGATACTGTATTAGTCCACAGCTGAAAATAGTCCCCAGCAAACACTCTTGTTGTGGTTGTGGTGGACTGCTGAGTGCAGCAGTAGGACGCTTTAAATACAGAAATAGATGTGTATACTTGTTATACACTATATCACCAGTACGTACGTTATAGTGAGCACTCACTCACCCATCCAAATCAGTCACTTCCATGTCCACGGGTGTATAAAATCAAGCACCTAGAATGGATTCGAGAGGGGGAGCTCACGATCAATGATCTGAAATGGGTTTCATGGTCGAGCAGCTGTATTTGCTGTATTAGAGCAGGGGAGACTTGTTCTCTGGAGTGATGGATGACACTTCTTCTTCGACACCTACCGCTAAACTCAGACTCATCCATCGGATTGATGGAGGAGTTTGGGCCAGGTGACAGTACTTGTCTGACTGCATTGTACCAAGTGTAAAGTTTTGTGGAGGGGGATTATGATGTGGGGCTGTTTTTTAGGAGATGACCTCAGCCTTTTAGTTCAAGTGAAATGAACTCTTATTGCTGCAGCATACCAAGATGTTTTTGTCAATTTTATGCTCCCAACTTTGTGGGAAGGCATAGGCATGGCTCCTCCTGTTCCAACATGACTGCGCACAAGTGTAAACAGCGAGGTCCATAAAGACATGGATGAGCGAGTTTGGTGTGGAAGAACTTGACTGGCCTGCACAGAGTCCTGACTTTGAGACTGTGAGCCAGGCCTTCCTGTCCAACAGCAGTATCTGAACTCACATATGTGCTTCTTGGAGAATGTCCAAGCCGTGGGCCAACATATTAAACCCTATTGATTAAGAATGGGATGTAACGCAAGTTCATATGTGTGTGAAGGCAGACAGTGAATATTTTGGCAACATAGTGTATATGTGCAATGAGATTTACCTGTATAAATAAAGGTGGAAATGAACTGTTTACGTTTCCAGGTAGGAAGTTTGTCAGCATCCTGATGCGTTTCTGGTATCTAACGAGCGCACGCCTTCCCGAAGACTCCATGGAGGGAACTCGTATCTTCCAGATGGCCATTGGAGAAGGAGAACCAGAAACTAAGAGACTGCTTACTGCAATTTATGAGTGAGTATCTTTTTTTTATATATATTTCTGTACATTTTTCAGTTACTTGGAGTCATTCTGATCTTTCCTTTTACCTCTCTGACAGATTCCAGAGGGAGTTTACTAAAGGAGTTCCTCCAGACTGGACCATCACCAGGATAGAGCACTCCAAGCTTTTGGACTGAGGTGGTGTTGAAAGAAAATAGTCACAGCTCAAGATTATCCACACAGGGGGAGTGAGACACAGCTCCTCAATGAAAAGGACTAAGTTGGATTTTCCACAATTTACTTAAGCAAAGACACAGGAGCCAATCACAGCCGCTCTACTAATACCACCTTGGACTCCTGGTTTGTTTCCTCGCTCTTTCATGACGTAGAAATTAGAGTTTCAAGCCTGATTTGGCTTGTAACCCCTGCTCTCAAAAGTCGAACACTTTCAGGAAGAAAGTGTTATCTTCCAGTTAACAGTCATGTGATCCCAGATGGGTGGGGTCTTCAGACAGATTAACAGCGACCAGCTGATTTGAAATGAATACATTGTGATGGTGCTGATGCGATAAATGTCTCCCAGCTCAATCTGACCTAAGTCTGACGAAGTGACTGAAACCACTGAGATTTTTTTAATCTTTTTTCAGTCGTTGATCTGCTGCTGTGTATTCTCATCTTTAAAAGCTGAACGCATTATGAGATTAAACACTTCATGTGAAATCATTCCTTGAGAGAAAACACTCACTGTTTTCAGAGAAGACCGACCGACATCTGCTTCTGTAACTGTGGAGCTGCGATCAGGATGTATGTGGCATTTTTTTTCGTTTTTGTTTTTTGTCTCTGATTTATTTCCTGACCCTTTGCCTTCAGGAGTTTTTGGAGTATGAACCTGCTGTACATGTGTCTCTGATGGTTAAGGCAGCTTCACAAAGCTGCAGCAGACTCGGTTTTATTAAAGATTTGAGGAATGAAGTGTATGCTGCTCCTGTGCAGTTTATGACGCGTTTGTTGGTATATATGATGACAGCATGTTTGTGGATGTTCTAGGTTTTTAAAAAATAAACAAAACTATTGGAGAGGGGTGGGGTTTTTTTGGTTTTTTTAAGGAAAGACTACATTCCAAAATTACAAAACTGAAACCTTTTAAATAAGAAAAATCTAAAGTTTTTCTTAAAATTTGTGATTTCAATCGCAGAATTAGTAAAACATTTTATTTTTTTAGATTGTTTTCATATATTCGTTATTATGTATATAGATTTTAATTTAATTATTAACATATTTTAAATTTTTCTGCTTCAAAAGTATAGCCTAGCTGATACAGTCCACACAGGCCAAGGACACTGTCACTAAAGCAAGCAGGCAAGAATGATTTGTATTGCGCTCACTTTACAGAAAACAAACTAAAAACCCTGTATGAGCCACAGTGAATTTATAAACATTGTCTATACTTAGATTATTGTCGGCATCTATCAGAGCTTGTGTTTAAATTCTCTTGTTGTTTGCTTTCAGACAGAGGAGCTCTGAGAAACACTTTGTAGCACACATTGAATACTTTATATCTTTGGCTGCCTGATACACTCACGCGATGGTTTTAAACTTGATTATATACACCAATAAAAACCTACTGGCCCGTACGGGATCGAACCCGCGACCTTGGCGTTATTAGCACCACGCTCTAACCAACTGAGCTAACCGGCCAGGTGTTACTATGTGCCCGGTCCCCGCACGCCGAGATTCTTACGTTGTCAGTAGGACTCCAACTTTTTCCTCTTGTCCGTGTCAACGGAGTCACTCATTAATATACAGGGCCGGTTAGCTCAGTTGGTTAGAGCGTGGTGCTAATAACGCCAAGGTCGCGGGTTCGATCCCCGTACGGGCCAGTTTAAATTTATTGGGCAGCTTTGGTATGTGGATAAAAAAGAGAAGAAACAGACAATATTGCCATTCTGTCGCAAGATACACTGATCTACACCAAATTTGGACCCAATAGTGGTGTCAAATATTAGAATCATCACAACAAAGACTTAAATTCGAACAACTAAAGGCTGCTTTATAAGAATAGTCTCGGCAAAAACTAACTAATGCACATACATATCTTATACTTATTCTCTATTATACTCTTATATTAAGACTTCTTAATTAGATGCGCAGTTAAAGCCATGCATGTGTGCATGCATATGGACATGGGAAGAGGCCTGAATTACACAATCACACAGAAACAGCCCAGTCAGGACATTATTGCTGTGAGGCAACAGTGCTTACCTCTGCGCCACCACCTTGAGAAAAATATCACAGACACACATATGCTTGTATTTTTTCTTTAAAAGAAATTACTTTTGAATTTCACTTTGGATTAATAACTTTAAGAAGATATGAATTTGAGATTCATTTTGAGACAGATTTATTGTCTCAAAATGAATCTCACGAGTCTCAAAACTTTTTAATTAAAGAAAAAGTTTTGGGGGTTTTTTGTCTTGGGATTATACAATCAGATTTTCAAGGGGGAGAAGGGCATGGTATTGGTATTTGTCTTTTAATTTTTCCAGTTGGCAGCTGCCATGAATGCTGTATAATTTGCACTTTAATTTTAGCTTTGAAATTGTCACAGATTGACTAATGTTTAATTGCTTGAAAAAATATATACATATAAATAAAGGTAATACTGTTAATAACACACAAGATGATAAAATTTGAAAATAATAAGAAAAAACTTAACAACAGCTGCTAAGCTAAGCGTAGCTATTTCTCGCGTGAAACGTGTGACTTCCTATTTGCTCTCTCATTGGTCCATTTCATTTAGAGCTTTACACCCATTGGCCGGCCGAGCTGCCACTCTTTGGGTGTGCGGCGTGTGGTTCCTGTTGTGAGCTTCAGCCGGTGTCTGACAGCCTGGCGGGGAACGAACAGAAGGAAAATGGAATCGTGTAGCTCAGACATCAGTGAAATTTAAAAGCCACACTCACGGTGGAAGCATGAAGCTCGCCGCGGTGGCTTTTTACGGTTTGGCCGCGGGGCTGCTGGCGGTCGGCCTGCGAGAGTTGCTGACAGGCTTCGAGGAGAACAGATGCAGTATGACCTATATGTTTGAATACCCGGAGTATCGGGTGAGTACTCAGCTAATTAACTCAGAGCATTCCAAAGACCCGCATATCAGCCATCAGTTAGGTATATTCGGTGTGCTGTTTAAGGCAGAGGCTGGTTGTGTGTCGCTAAGTGGCTTCTTATTTTTATTAGCGCGAATGAATGTTGGTTTATGACTGCCAGCGGCTGCTAGCGTTAACTGAGGGAGAAAGTAATGTCAGGTGCGTGGCTACCCTATCAGTGTGTGTGGTCGCTCTTTGTCCTCCCTGACAGGTGTGTGAGTGTTTGTTTGCTGAGGTTTAGGTTAGTCGGATTATTATCAATGCAGCTTGAATTAACTGCTGATGCTTGACCCCTCTCAGCAGGTCACCTGCAGATCAGCTTTGCACGATATCGGACGTGGGTTAAATGCACACAGGTCCAAGCCTCGTGAAAGTAGTTGAAGTCCCTTTCCCTCCCTTTCAACATGTAAATTAATCAGAATGTTTTTTTGTATGTAATTTGTATAGTATATTTTTTTTCTCTCATTTCTTTTCTAAATGTACTTGTATATTGTTCACATGTTGAAATAAATTACCAATCAATCAATCAATCAAAAAAGTGGTCGCCTTCCTCTCCTCTATATGCGCACTAATGGGTTCATCTGTCCAGAAGTGGGGCACAGCTGGAGGCCATGCGCCATGTGGGCATCAGCCTGAGTCCACACAGTTCAGGAGTGTGTGTTCTGTTAGCGAGAACAAGGATTCAGAGTCCCACTTTATGTAGATATGCTTAATGTGCACAATGGACAGAGTATCGGAACAGAGTTCCGAGATATACAGGGCGGAAATGTATGGAGGTCGAAGACGGCCAAAATTTAAAACAAAGTCTTCAGAAAATAAATTGACATGATGTTAAAAAGAATAAAACAAATGCATCCATTTTAAGATGTGATATAAACTAAAAAGATATTTCTATGTTAACTGGCTTCTTTATTTATTTAATTTTAAATTAATAAATAAACAAAACCTTATTTACCGTTATTTACCTTCGGTTTAATTTTAGTGTTAAAGGATTAACATTTCAAATACTTGAAAGACAGAAACAAAAGTCCCGTTCAAGCCAGCATATGAACTAGCAAGTCATAGACTACACAGGTGTAATGCACAGACCCAGATACCTGCTAACTAGGACTAATAAAATGGACACCAAAGCTACACCACTTGCCCCAGCAGCAAAACGTGGTGTAGAGGTGCAGTTAAGTCACTAAAATTAGCAGAAGTGAGGCCCACCAGCCAGCTGTCAGCTACAGCTGTCTATATTGGCACACCGATCAGTCAAACTGGCCATGCCCTTAATGTTAAGGCTTCAAAAAATAAGAACAGTTGAGTTAAAAAATTTCACCCAGTACAGTTGTTAAAGGAAGAAATTATCTATTGACAAGCTGTAAACATCTTTATTTCTGCTTTAAAGGTGGACAATTTAACACTAGAGTCAATGGGGACACAGAGCATCTACTGGACATTAGAGGAACTGCACCTTGTAGTATTTTTGTGTTGGCTCAGTGCTTTTGCCACGTGGTTTTGACATCTCACATATGCTTCCCAGATATATTATTAACTTCTTTTGAAAAATGATCTTATTTTAAAACTGTCTGTAAGGTGTTTTATTTTAGATAGTCTCTTTGCTCTTATTTTGAAAGGTCAGCAGGTGTGTGTATGTCTGAAAATAACTGCTACAATATCCCACCATGAGACATCACATGCACGGTTACTTTATTTTAAACATCAAAGTAAATGGTCCTGACTGACAGCTTTATTTTCAGCTCTCTAATCCCCTGACTCGAGAAGGCCATTTCTGTCGTGAGCCGAGTGTCGATCAAACGGCAGGTGAAGAGATGACACTTTGAAGGACACCGCCCTCGTTCGTTTCGTGAAACAGAAATTCATGAAGAAATGTAAAAAGATAACAAAACAGCCAGAATTCACTTCACTTCCAGAATTACAATGTTAATGAGACATTGTTACCAAGTGTTAACACCGTTTATAAGTCAGTTAATACAAAATGTATCCATTTACTTTCAATAAAATCCCCCCTTTGATAACTAAGACATTTAGAAGTGTCTCATTTAGACACAAAGCCCTCAAATTGATGTCACACATGACCATAAAATAAACTGCACTCAGGTGCACAGTCTCATCACCTTTGGTTTAATGTCACATCCATAAACCTCAATTTTTATTTTTTTTTTAGACGAGCATTCAATCTAATATTTCTTTGTCCCTAAAAATTAGGTTATTATAATGTTTTCACAGGTTGGATCAGAAGTCTTTGTCTTATAAAATTAAAGTGCCTCTATTGTCCCAATAAACAGGTTAGTTTTTAGGTTAGGGGGGTCACCATTTTGGTACAATAAGTACATTTCATTTGAAAAGGAAATATGGAAATAAACAGGTTTAAGAAAACGATCGATGACCATAAATTGTTTTTAAATCATGCTACACTTTAAAAACATGTCAAATTTTAAATAGACAATGGCGTAAATTCATAGGTAAATGAATAAAGAAGCAGTCAGTAAGTTCAGTTTTTTTGTTTTTCTTAGTCATTTGAGGACTTTTAATTTTGACACTTTGGGCCCTCCATAAAAACCAAGTAAACGTATTTATTTCTTATGAATGTTGGGCATTTCATCAGAGTGTCAAACTAAAATGAGAGTTAGCGCTTTGTCATACTGCAGCTCCCCAAATGACTTGTACCTGACAATCCCAGAATGTCCTGTTAAAAATTTCTAGGGGAAAAAATGAAATTTTAATAGGACTTACATAAAATTTCAGCTCCTTACTGTCCATACTTCCGTTCATTTCAAACACCCCACCTCCCCAACAGAATTATTCCCTTAATGGTCAATACAAAAAGCTAGTGTTATAGTATATTTGTCACTTTTAAACATTAAGGATCAGCTGTACTCATGCTCAGTGTTTGCGTAGGTGCTTGGAGTAAATCAGCTGTAGATTACATGTAGGCTCAGCTGTAGTTGCTTTATAGCAAGCTCTTTGTGATGTAACTGTGACAGCAGGCTAATGAGCTGTGTGAGTTTTTGCCTCCTAACCGCTCTCCGTGTGGTTTCAGCGTGTGGCGCTGCCTCGCCGTGTGGCCAGACTGTACCCGGCCTACGGGCTCTACCTGTACGGAGAGGGTGTCTACGCCCAGGAGACCCGAGCACTCAAACTCACCGGCGCCCCTGTGCTTTTCCTGCCTGGAAATGCTGGAAGTTATAAACAAGGTAAGAGTGCAAAGTTGATAATGGTCCAGTGCTTACATTTAAACTATCATGAACGAGTGGGGGAAAAAACTGAGAAGTTAAGTTTTGTGCTACAGCAAAGACAAAGGAGAAACGGAGGACATCAAGCTTTTTGTTGAGTCATTTCTGGCTGAAAAAACAAACTGAAGTTTCCTTCACAAACAGAAATTTTTGTCTTTGTGATGCTTGCTTTTTGCACATGAGGGGTTAAAATGTCCAAAGTTAGTGTTGTGTTTGCGCTGTGAAACTAAGGGCTGTTTTCTTCTTCAACAAATGACATTCCTTGTTAAGAGACCAGGGAATCGTGTGGTCTAAAACTACTTCCTCCCATGTATTTGTACTCTGACACATGAAAAAAACTGCAAAACCAAAAGTTGGTATGATGTGTGACAGTCTCTCTCTGCTCAGCCAGTTGTCATCAAGAGTACCTCACAGCCCCCAACTCACTAAGAGGAGCATCGCTTGAAACCTTTTAAAAGCATAAATTTAACCTGAATAGAAAAATGGTGGGAGGTTTTATAAAGGTGAAATAGCATAAAAACTATTTCAGACCACAGCTGTATATCTGTTTCCATACTGTTGTGAATATGGATTGTCAGACAGCGGCACCTGCTTGAGCCTGCTGGAGTTTTTCTTCCTGTTAAAAGGCAGGTTTTCTTTCCCACTGTCGCCATTTGCTTGCTCAAAGGGGTTTCTTTGATGTTGGGTGTTTCACTCATTCATTTTAGTGGCGTCTTTATCTTCCAATATAAACCATCTTGAGGCAACTGCTTTTGTGATTTGATGCTATATAAATAAAACTAAATTGAACTGGATGTTGTGGCTTTTTTTGTTTTTTTTGTTTGTTTTGTTTAACTAGGAGGTTTTTATCTTATTTTTGTAGTCGTATAAAATGAGCAAATATATTTATGAAGAAAAAAAGAATTCAGTGATGGATGGATTTGAAAACAAAGTTCTGAACATTTTCTTGTAAGAAAGCTCTAAAAAAAACAGTTGGTGAAGGATTTGACTTCACTCGAGGACTGGATTCATATAGTCCACAAAATTTATGTTATGTAGAAACTGACATTTAATTGAAGACAGGAAAAGGCAAAGTGTTGGAAATCCTGGGGCGATTATGTATCATCGTTTAGAGTAAGCACTAAATTAAGTTGGTCAACAATAACTTGTGATGCTTCAACCCCCAAGTTGCTAAGTCATGTTAGTATTAACTTATTTACTTCCTTAATTAGGTTTATGGGTCTTGAAGCTGGTTTGAAGTGTTGGGGTATACCATATACATCCCTGGTTTCGAATAAAAACTCATAATTTGGAACACAAGCATTCAGTTTTTTAACTTTAAGTAGATGCTCAAAGCTTTTTGCATTATCACATCGATCAGGATACCTCAGTGTGTTTTTCTAATCTATTCATCATGAAAAACTGGTTCAAGCACATGTTTTCACAGTTTGCGCTTGTTTTTTGCTGTGTCGTTATTACGGCATTTTAAACGCGTCACCGAGCCTCACTGCTGTACTTCTCTTAGTATCATGAACTCACTCACTGTAGTTTAATCAGTCCAAAATAATAGAAATAAACCTGTGAGTGGAAACAGTCCTCAGCACATGTGCTGTTTATTCCTGCTGAGTAGAATTTGCTCAAACCTGCAATGCTAATGCTAAATAAAATGCAGTTAATAGGTGAATATACTTTTTAATAGTTTAAGAATAAATGTGCACTGCATTTTATAATATAATTTATTGTATATTAGATTTTTTAATTCTTGGGAAATTCTAACCTGGAATCTTCTGGTGACTTCAATATTCTCTCCAACTAATAACTCTTGTTGATGCAACTCCTTTCTGAGATGATGGTGGCTATCCATTCTTTCCACCAGCTGTGTGTAGGAGTGGAACGCCCCCGCTTTTATTCCTGTGAATACAAACTGATTTTGCTGTTACTCTGGTGGTTTTTTGCTGCCCTGCATGCAGTATTCCTCAACATTTCTTCTCCTGCTTCCATTTTCTGGCTTCCATGATCACTTTTATCAATAATCCAAAGTCTGAAAAAAGAAAATTATAAATAACTCTTGCAGAGATTTATCTGATCAGATGATGCTCGATAGCTAAGTAGTACTGACCCCACAGCTGCACCACATCATTCAGTTTAATCCTCACTGATTTAACACCATCTGTGTTCTTCTGTTGTTGAAGCTCGATCTCTGGGCTCAGTCGCATTGAGGAAGGCTGAAACCATGGAGGGAGGTCTCCACTTCAACGTGTTCACTGTGGACTTCAACGAGGAGCTGGTGGCGCTTTACGGCGGCAGTTTGCTCAGGCAGACGCATTTCCTGCACGAGAGCATCAAAGCCATCCTGAGGCTGTACAAGGTTAGGCCTTGAATATCAGACTGGGTTACTCCAAGTGACGGAGAGAGAGAGAGATTATAACCGGTCTTCACCTAATATCAAATTTAAAGTGAAGGGAAACTAAGTTGAACTCTACACACGCCAGAAGACTTGAAAATTTCACGGGTTTTTATCTCTCCAGCACCTGAAGACCCCACCTCAGAGCGTTGTGCTCGTCGGTCACTCCATGGGAGGAGTGGTGGCCCGGGCACTGTTCACTTTGCCTCGTTTCAACACTAACCTGGTCAGCATCATCATCACCCAGGCCTCCCCTCACCTGGCTCCAGTGCTGGCCCTGGACCCGTACCTGCTGGGTAAGAGTTGGTCAAACCTGCTCAGTTCAACTCGTTCATGTAGCATAAACAGATTTCTACAGTTTTTTTTTTTCTCTGCTTGGTTGCTGTGTGCAGATTTCTACTCTGCAGTCAGACAGAAGTGGGTTAACCAGGCAAACAAGCTCAGGAATGTCACAGTTTTGTCCGTCGGGGGTGGTTATCGTGACTACCAGGTCCGCTCCGGCCTCACTTCCCTGCCGTGTCCTCCAGGAGACCCGAACAAGCTGTCACTGGTGGTACGATTTGCCCCTGAATAAAGTTTCAATTCAGCCCTTTTTCTCTGGTTCCTTTTGGTATCGTTCTCACTTTGGGACTATTTGAAGGAAAAGTTCTCATTTTGTGTTGTTTTTGACTCCAAGTGCTGTTTTTTAAAATGTACTTTTGTATCTTAAGTTTTTCGTCTTGTTTTTACCAAGGTGACTGCAGTTCCCAGGACGTGGGTGTCTACTGATCATCTGTCCATTGTCTGGTAAAGGACTTTTTCCTTTTTTGGAGCCATATTTAAATATTACTAAAATTATTTATGTTTGTGTGTCTTTGTGTTTCAGGTGCAAGGAGCTTGTTCTTGCCACTGTCAGGGCGTTCTTTGATCTCATCGATCCTGAAACCAGACAGGTGTGAACAACAACAACATGTGTTTTCCTGCTGAGGAGACATGAAAGACAAACCTCCATCAGAGAGAGTTGGGAGATGGGAATATTTAAAGCAAATGAATAAATCTGACAACCTAACTTAATCAGTTTATTCTTAACAGTTCACAGAAAACTCTGAGAAGAAGTTAGCTGTGCTGAACCATCATTTCATTAAACATCCCGTGAGGTTGCCTGGAGAAACTCAAGAGACACCAGTCTCCATTTCAGGTCTCCATCTCTTCTTTTATGGTTCATGGCGACAGTGTAATACACTTGCATCCAAAGTTTCGCTGTACCTCACTGTGCATTAATGATGAATCACTAAGATCGGTGTCCTGTTGTTTGTCTGTTTTCTTTTCCAGATCTTCCTGATGCATGGAGTGAAGTTAACACACTTCGTCTGGCTTACAGCACACCAAAGGTACAACAGAGCCTCACCCATCTGTAATGATGATTAATAATTGAATGGATTATCTTCCAGTAGCTGATACAAGTTGTAAAAGAAAGTTATTTTTAATGTATAAAATGTATCTACTCGGTAAAAATGAAACCATCTGGAGTGATGTCTAATCCATAGACTGTATGAAAAAGATGGACGTAGCTTACAGGTCTGAAAAATGAAACCAGTGCAGTAGTGCTTAAAGGCCATGAGGGGGCGGGGCCTCCTGTTTCAAAAAGAATTCTGATTGTATAGAAATTATAAAATTACTTGTGACCTCAGTAAACATGTTCCTGATTCATTGTTCGTGATTACAAGCGCTACTTTAGAGTCTTATCGAATATAACACAATGTTTATTGTGTCAGTTATCGTCTCATTAAAAATAAATGAAAATAAGATAATAAATCAGGCTGTGCTTTACGGTGTGACTACACTGTGCTTGAAGAGTACGAGTATGAGCGTGTAGCGTCCCATAAACGATGTCTCAGTTAAACCCACATGTCGCACTTCACATCTGGTCAAGGCTACAAAACAGGATTATTTGACTAATTAATCTGACAAAACAAACAAAGCGATTACAGTAATCATAAGTGTTTTGCTCTCTGTTTGTACAGGAAGGTCAACCCAAGTTCTTCCTGTTTGCCCTGTCGAGTCGCAGGAAAGCCTACAGCCATTTCTACTGCCGGAGCAACAACCTGGTGAGTTACTACCTTTTGTTTTTGAGCTGTAAGAGCTTGATAATATTAACATGTGTAAGAGTTAAGGCTAAATGCTTCATATTTAGTGCAGGAGAACCAAGAACATCTTTTTAAATTTGAAACCAAGTGAAAAGAGATTCTGATTTATTGTCCAACAGGAGATGACCAGCTGGGTGTATGGCTGTTTGCAAAAGAATGGCTCATCATGGTAAGTATATCATTAATGTCAAGCTTTTCACACCACCTTTATTCTCAATAAGCATCTTTAATATTTTTCTCCAATGTGAAAAATGTGATGGAGTTTGTGGATGTGTTACACAATTATTTATTTCTGTTTCTTTTATGTCTCTTTTCCTCCAGTGTGTTTGCAGCGGATCTGTCTAAGGGAACTGAGCTTTTGCCTCCCTACAAGGTAACTATGGTCTAAAAGAGACTCCATTCAGTTCAGTCTTTATCCCATCAGCTGTCCTAACAGTCTGTCGTCCTCCTCAGGTCCTGACTCTGAGGCTCAGTGACTTGTCGTCTTTTACTCATCTGTTTGTCTCGGCCTCAAACCTCAATGGCAAGCAGGTACTTCAAACTAAACAATGACTCAGTATTTCAGATTAACCTGCAGTAAAAATGTTCTGGTCTGTTTGCCATTGTTATACTTCTACTTCCATAGCCTATATTTGAAATGAGGAGACCAGTGTTGGCTTGTTTTATTTAAACTTTAAGCTCCATATCATCTTTCTGGCTGTAGATTTTGTACACAGCTTTCCGAAGAATAGCTGAGTTTAGTCATGAGTGTTTGTGATCAATGTGCACAAGTCCACAGTGGCATCAAAGGATTTAAAGGTTTTTTTTGATATATAAAAAGCTGAAGCTGTTTTCACTCCTTTTACCGTTTTAAACCTAACAGAGGTGAAACTACAATGGTTCACAAATTCTGCTAAGACTAGCTTTAACCTCCTAGTTCCATAGTGTAAAGTCTGTGTGATGTCCAATTTAGCCCGCAGATGTTATTGTGCTGTAAATTTACCGTGAGCAAATGGATTTGATGTGTGCTGCGTCCTGCTTGCTCTACTTGGGCAAGCCTCTCTCAACTAAACCAAAAGCAGTGATGGAGGTGATCCAGTTGTATGTTACATGCTGATTCTGACCTGATCTGTGATCAGCCTCAGACTACCCAAAAACAGAGGCCAGAAGAGGAAGAAGCCAAACAAACAAACCCCCCTTTTTTTAAAGAGCTTGTCAAGGTGTGTGTGTCTGTCTGCTCTGCAGTTCACGGTGGAGTGTGAGTGGCAAAGAGAAGAATCTCAGACTCTGTCTGTCGCAGTGCCGCATGTCCTGTCCTTCGGTGAGTAATCTAGTAAAACCAATTCACAAACTTTTTTAATAAAAAAAAAAAGGTTGGTTTTTTTTTTCAGCAATTGTTATTTGGGTTTTTAGGTTTGACCTCGAGTGATGTTACGGTTAACTCCTCTGGACTTCTTCACACCATCGAGCTGCAACACTTTCACCAGGTAGCTTTCACTGTGTTCTCAGGTTCTAGTCAGGATCAGCTTCCCTGTTTCAGCTAAATTTAAAACTCCTCTGTGTCTCCAGGTCTATCAGGCTTTCAGAATTAATGTTGCAAGCCAGTGCAAAGTACAGAAAGGTGAGTGTGTGTTGTTGGATCAAGAGGCTCATGTGCTCATGCTGTAATGTAATAGTGGTGACTGATTGTGTGTCTGCAGACAGATTGCCGAGCGTGTACAGGATAAAGGTGCCATGGTTTCGAGAGGACTCTTTAACCACGGTCAGGTGAGTTTCTGAAGTTATTCTTAGAGACTATGTTTAAGTAACCATGGTGAGCCAAATGCTTTTATTTTCCCTCCACATTTTGGCCCGTCTGATGTCAGTAAGATCGAATTTCCCACTGCGGTCATGCCAGAGCGCAGAAGCCTGAGAGCGCAGAAGCCTGACCCACCTGCAGTTCCAACCTTCTGTTTGGGAGGGACAGCCAATCAAAAGAAAGTTTACTTAAAGAGGTTTTACATCTGCTTGTTAGAGACAGAGGATGAATTGAGGGGTTTGACTTAGACTAGTACCAGTAAAACAAGAACTGTTTTTGACCTATGATGAGTAGCTTTTCTTTTAACCTGTCATGATTGATGTGATCTGTCTGCCAGCGTGCCATCAGTGACGGAGATCTCAGGGATGCTCCACACAAGTCGTCCAGACAACACCTCAGGTGCACTCCTGCAGCTCCACACTGCCCCCAACTGCCAGTATAAGGTACTACCTTCCAGCTACCAGAAAGAAGGTCGAGTCTTCTTCACATTTGTTGTGACAAACTGTTAAATATTTACCCTGTGACTTAGGTCTCCATAAGAACTTCGTTACCCAGGGTGCTCGGACAGGTAGGAATTGCCTTGTTTATTTATTCCGGTGAAATTAGGGCATCGTGGCATTCGAATAAATCTTTCATCTTTAATTACCAACTTGATTCACGCTGTGGCATCTTATCTGACAGATACTGAGGTTCTGTGGTCACATGGTACCAGTGTACACAGCTGTAACCCTCCTTCTGGCCTGTGGGGGGCAGGTGTCCTCCATCCTGAAGTCAAGGCGAGCTGCAGACATGAGTCAGATGGTGGGCAAAGGCCTGCAGCCCCACAAAGTCAACCTGCCTGTGTATATTCTGCACATCGCACTCAGGTAAGCTTAGTGGTTCTAATATGAAGCTGAGTGGGAAGGTTATTTTTTTTCTGGCCTCAGAAAAAACTGACTGTGGTTAAAACCGCCTCGGCCTCCTGCTTTAATTTAAGATAAATTTTCATATAACAGTCAAACGCCTCAGGATGGTTTTCCCTTCTGTCCCCCCCACAGCTGTAGCTGCTTTCAGGAGGTCTGGTCCATGCTTTTCCTCCCCTCTATGGACACACTCCCTCCAACCTTCCTTGATGTGGCATTTCATGAAGAGGAGACACCAGGTGAAGAATGGGTTCACCTCCTCTCCCCTCTGCTGTATATTTTTGGGGCAGCTGTGGCGTACTGGGGCAGCGCTCTACTCAGACTTGTTATCCGGCTGATCTCGTTGGTCTTGGCTCCATTGCACAGGTACCGAGGTTCATTCAAACATTTGAAACTGTGGCTGATTGTCTGTTTGTTCGCTTGAGTTTTAATTCTTTTCATCTGCAGGCCGTCTGTCTCCAGAGACTGTGGCACCCTGCGGCTGCGAACCCAGCTCCTCATCACGCTGTGTCTGACTGTTATGGGCGGGACTTCCTGTGGGGCGTTGTCGATATTTGCCTCCTTCCTGTTCCACCTTTATAGGGTGAATATTGATTTAATTAAATTATTTATAATTCTGCTGTCCAGAGCTGCTTAGCAGGTAACACTTCCTGTAATTCAGATTATAATGAAGGAAAAAAAGCCTTAAAATATCTAATATTTACCATAAATTTACTTTAAATTTGATTATGAAGATAAAAACAGTGCTGGGCAGGTAAATTTTGTGAATCAGGTTTTAAAGCTTTTGGGTTTTTCATGAGACTTTCTCAGGAGTATTCAGTTTGTCTTTGTCTTGACCAAACACCAAAGCAAACAGATTTTCTAGTGTATATTTTATGTTCTTAAATAGATATTTAAAAACCATGAATTGTATTAATTTATTTATTTTTTTAAGTGGTGCAGGAGCCTTTGGTGTAGCATGGACTTCCTCTGTGGAAACAAACTCTGTTTTGAAGTTTCAGCTGAGCTGCTGTTTGTGTTTGTTTGTTGCTCTCAGGTTCTGAGGCTGCAGATGACAGAAAGATATTTGAGACACATGTTGAATCTGGTAAGATGTTCAGGTTTAACTAACATTTATGTTGTAAGATTTTCATTTTTCTTTCATATCAGGCTGTAACCGTACTTAATTTTGCTGCAGTGATTGAGTGAGTGACTGGCTGGCAACGGCCTCAAGTGGACAATAGGGGAACTGCAGTTTATGGCATTCCCACATCTGCTTATTTAAATACAGATTGCCAAACTGTTATAAACCAAGCTTTGTCTGATTCATCTCCTCTGGTGTCTTTCCAGGCTCCCCGGAAGCACAAAGAAGCTGAGAATGGCACAATCGATCCCGAATGCTTGAGCAGGTCTAAAGAAAGCAACGGCACCCCCTTGCTGTCGGAGTGCGCCCTGCAGGAGGTGAGGGATGACCTGCAGCTCCACCTCTGCCTGTCGGCGCTTTTCACTCTGCCCGTCATGCTCAGCGGTCCCTCGCTCATCCACTGGATCCGTAACCTGAGGTATGTGAGAGAAAGATGCTGCTCTGCACATCAGCGTTAATTTCTCTGAACCTCACAGTTGATAAATAGATGCTAACTGTGCAGTATGTTTGTTTTAACGCACATGTGCAGTAGCACAGTGACTACAGCAGTCTCCAGTAGAGTGTCTGATTTACAAAGGAAGTCTACCTGAAGTTCACCCATGATCACACAGCTGCTGCTCTGGCTTCAAGCAGACAGCCGAGGGAGCAAGCTGTTATGACTCAGTGTGTGCGGAAGAGGCCGAGAGATAAATAGGACTGCATAAATCATTTTTTATTATTACATTACTTGAGTAAATTAAGTCTGAAGTTTATATATATATATATAAAAATTATGCTTGCAGCTCCATTACTGTACCCTAAACTACTTTCCTTGCACACAGGGAAGCATTTGATGGGTAAATGTGTGGATGTCATGGAGGCAGAGTTCAGGGCAGAAACCGTCATATCCTTTGGATTTTCCCTGTAAATTCACATTAATGACTATTTATTATATTTAAAAATGTTACAGAGTGCACCTACTTGGTTATTTGCATAAAATGCCTAAATGTCTGGACTTGTTATTTGGGTTTTTAGGTTTGACCTCGAGTGATGTTACCGTTAACTCCTCTGGACTTATAAGAATATGGGAACTGTATGCTTAAATAAACACAAAGGTACAGAGTGTGATCATTAGGATAAGTAGTTCCATATTAACGCTCTCTGTTTGTTGAACCTGTGCAGGTATTCCACCCAGCTGAATCCCGACCCTTGCTGGCCATACATCGTGCCTCTAATTTTTGTCTACATGCTGCTTATTAACTGTAACACTTTAAAGCTCAGCAACAGGTAGGAGCACACCTGCCCAGCACACACATTCCCAGTGAGATCCTTCATGCTAACAGTTAACTTGTTCTTCATGTTTTTCAGTAAACTGCTGCCTCTGACCTCCTGCCTCCCTCTCCCCTTGGCCATCATCATGGTGACTTTCTCTCCTCTTCACCTCTACAGAATCACCTACTTCCTGTTGGGGTCACTCATCCCGCTGGCCTTGTGCTGTCTCCTCTGACAGCACCGGGCTGGTTTCAGTCTCCATCTCCACCATAACATGCCTCTTCTTAAGTCGCAGCCTGACTCTCTGAGGCTGGTTGAGGACTTTCTGTACCGGGCTGCTATGGAGCGGAGCCATAGACATACATAGCCTGGTTAACTTCCTGCTCACTGTTAGCACTAAAGGCTCCGTGGTGATTACACAGGGTGTTTTAAAAAGAGAGGGTGTAATGGCCTCAGAGCATTTGGTGCAAATATGGCTCTGTTGGATTGTCCTGAAACCATGTTTGCCTTACTCTGTATATCTATAGCTCTGCCTTCAGGGAGCGCCAGCTCCACAACCAGTGAAGCTTATGATATGAGAGACTGTGGAAAGGGTGTTACTGTTATAACATGATGTTGTTTCTGGTGTCAACAGTGGCGTTGTTCACTGTGGTCACTGTGCTGTAAACTCTTACACTGCCTACTGCTTAGCAACGACTTACAGCTCTAACTGTTACCTGCTCACTGTCGTAGTACCTCCTCTAAACCAGAGGCAGAGTATTACATTTATTCCGTTAGAGAAATCCAAAGCAGGCGTGTTTATGTTCTCACCTATTTGATGCACAATATTGGCAAAATGAAGGGTTGCACTGAGGAAGGCTTGTGTACACGTGCAGGTTTGGGGGCGTCTTGTTATCCAGAGAAAGTCTGAATCTCCATGATCTCTACTACACCTGATCAATAAGAAACATTCTACTTCCTGTTTATTTGATTTTTGATTTTAAAAGGTTTAGCTGCAATTCAGGGAAGGGTACAGCAGGGGGAGCTCATGAGATAGTGTAAGAAACTAAACAAACTAAAAGAATTTTCACCAGATTTTCAAACATATGGCGGATCAAAACTGCTAAAATAATAAATAGTAAATCTGTAACTGAATTAAAATTATATCAGATGCCTAAAACAAATATTCATTAATTTATAACAAAGTAAATAGAAATTTTTATTTTAATTTCCCATATCTTATTTTTTTCCAATTCCCTGTTACCCTTTTATGCCTTGCTGTCACACCATGGGGCAAGCGGGCAATGTGGACACCCAAGTTTGTGAATACGAAATCAAGTTCGAAGTTCGAAATCTCAGTGAGCTCAAACTCGAGGTCAGAAGTCAACTATTCTACATATCACCTGGGCATTCATTATTATATTTTGCTTTAATTTTGGCAGTTTCAGTGCTCTGTAGAACAAATTTATCCGTGCACGTGTCAGACTTTTTAGGGTTTTTTTTGTTTTTGCTTTTTAAAAAAAAAAAATATTACATGTCATTTTGAGAAGGAAGTGAGCACTTTAAAGGCATTGCTGTAAAACGTGTTCAGAAATCTCTATGTGCCAAACTCGCTGTAATCCTGTTGATGGGTTAAAAGTAAGTTAGACCAAAATGCCAAGGAATTTGAGAGATGAATGCTAAGCAGAAATAAATTAGCGTTTTAAGGTGGAACAAATCATAAATATTTCATTATGGGCATACAATCACATGTTCATTCTATATCAGGTGTGGTTGTTGGTGTTTTGAGGTGAAGGCAGTGTGTTGTTTCTGTGTACGTTCTCTGTGATATCCGGACCTTGAATCCTGGGATTGGAAGTAGAATTTGCTTTTTGCTGGTGTTGTGTTGAGTTTAGTATTTATCTTATGTTTGAGTGTTGGTTGAAGTTTTTTGTTTTCATTTCATATTTGAAACGTTGAAAAAACATAACATAAAAGAACTTGTAGATTTGGATTTTAACAATTTAACAAGGAGAGGATAGAGTTGTTTTGTTTTTTTGCACTGTCAGCGAAAAAAATCAAACCAACCCCATGTTATTTATCTTGGCACCTCCTGACTTCCATATTTTTCTTTGTTTCATTACAAACCCTTCAGCTTCCTGCTGAGGATTTAAATATTCTAAAACTGCTCACAAAAGTTTGTTATCATTAATGTTGGTGTGAACCAACATTAATGATGGTGCATTGATTTGGGACTATTTTCAGTTGCGGATTATTACAAATTTAATGCTCTAGTTGCTTCCTTCAGCAGCTGCACAGAGTGTGAAGTAGAATACAATGGATACGGGTTGAAAATATGAATGAAGTGAGACCTTTTACAAGAAATATGATAGAAATAAGACTTTTGTTTTAATGAGAAGAGAGAGCATCTGATATGTTGAAGCTTTTGAATGGAAAGAGTCATAGAGAAAAAATCTGTTGCCACAATTACTTCAAACTGTTATCATTGCTGAAAACAGTTTTGTGTGTGTGTTTGAGTGCTGTTATAACATGTAGGCCTGACTTTTTGTTGCCTTTTTGTTCAATTTTTGTTGCCAAATTTACATTTTTAAGCCAGTTTCACTCACACTCGTTTGACCTTAAATCAGTTTAATCAGTTAAAATGTTTTTTGTGTGATAAATATATGGGTGTTGTGCTCCAAGATTACTTAACAAAAAAAAGGGAAACATGTTGTCAAACATTATTTTGGCTGCTGGCCAAAACATATTCAAGTTCGAAATGAGGTAATGTGTCTAAAATTGGCTGTAATTCCTCAATAGCTTGGAGATTACTTTTATTCAGCCCCTCGAATTAAAGCAGAGAGAGTCTACTTTAAGCCTGTAGTCACTATGTCACTCTAACTTGAATATGTTTTATTCAGTAACTAAAATAAATCAACTTCAAGCATATAAGAAGCTAGCTCTGAGAGTTTGTATTTCATGTCATACCTTTCTCTCTGGAAAATTATGAAGGACCAAAAATGCTGAAATAATAACTTCATAAACAAATAAGATATAAAATGCACTAAAATTAATAAGTAAAAATTAACGTAAGTATTACTTAATTTATGGCACATTTTATAACATTGATTTTTTTTTTCTTTTTTTTTTTAACTTGTGATTTAATCTTCCATTGTTATTAGTTTGTAGTTAAGTTATGCGTTTGGAGGTAGAAAGGAAAATTATCTGCATGACAGTGCCATCATTTTTATGAAGAAAAAAATCAGTTTTAGCTAAATAAAGATGAAATGAAGAAACACGTTTGTGGAGATAAATGGAAGGAAAAAATTTAATGGAAATAAATAAATACTATATAATTGATATTATGGGAAACAATATGGTGACAAATATGTCACTCTTTTTTTCATTAATTGAGTTGTACAACTTTTTACTTTTTTAATCTTTATAATTTGATCTTTATTCATTGCCTTGTTGTACATGAATTTTGACAGCTTCAGTCCTCCGTACTAACAGTGTCTTATTTTATTTCTGTCTTACATCCTGCTGCTGCTGCTGTGCCTTTTTGCTTTCTTGTGTAAGCAGCAGTTTGTGTTCAGATCTCAGCAGCTTTGTGCTGGCTGAAGCCCTACATTGAATGTAAAGCATATATCACTCCTTTGTGTCCACTCGCAAAGCTCCTCTGTTTTCTTTACATTTTATTTAAAATGTGGGACTCTGTAGTAACTAAATACTAAAGATTTAGGGACCAATCAAGCTCACAGTCAGAAGTCAACACGCTCTGCAGAAACCGCTGTTCCCAATGTGAATGTACCTGCACTGAATGTCTCTGTGTGTTTGAGTTTATACAGTGGTGTAAGTGTTCAGCTTTTCTCTGCACTTGTGAGTTTTTGGTATAGTTTTAGTGCTTTGAGATGCACATCGTCTGCCTCGCTGTGAATCGGTGGCAAACACAACTTTGTAGAACAAATTAGTAGCGATGAGAGTTATGTTTTCTATAAATAGACTTGTGACTTGTATCGGTGTTCACTGTGATCACGTCCTTCCACATGCACTCTCGCACCGAGTAATCCACACACAGACAACTGCTGTTCTGGGGACATTTTGCTATTTCAAATTTGGTGGGTTTTGTGTTTTTTAAAAATGTGATGAAGCTCTTGGAATACATTCAACATAAAGTTAAAACATTTGGATTGAAATAAAGCAGGAAATCAAATTCTCATTTTATTTTGTTCTATTTTGAAATGCTGTCACTTGAAACCAGTGTGCCAAACTGATGCATTCTCTTTGTAGAGCATCTGTCATATATATGAATGTGCAGCATGGCTTCAGTTCAGGTAAAAGGACCTTTGCATAGAAGGGCACGTTATTCCTCCAAATCTCTCTGTGGAAGCCTCCAGAAAAAAAACCTCAATTTGTATAAATTGCATGAAATAGGTGCAGGAATTGCTGCCACAATGTCTCCTATTATAGCCAAAATCGGCAGTTAAAATGGACCTTTTCTTATTTCCAACTTCATATTTTTTATTCTTGGACTCCTCTGTAGCAGCTTTGCATGATTTACAGTTCAAAGTAGTTCTTCTTTATCTTACACTGGGCCAGTTTTAACTCCTCTCCCTTTAAGGCCCTCATTAGCAACAGATTTGAAAAAGCAGGTAGGTGGTTCTTCTATGTCCCCAAATTTGGATGATGTCATACAGTTGCAAACTTAAAAAACAAAACTGTCTGAAACTGAGTGTTCTGAGCAGTCTTAAGATGGTATTTTCAGAGAACGGGGATTATCTCTTTATTTGAAAGTTTCATCATGCTTGGTATGAAATACAGGAAAGCAGAATAGAGTTTATAACATCCTAAATGTCAACCTGTTCAAAGTGATTATTATTTTTCATTTTTATTTTTTTAGGCATGCAAATTTGTGTGAACAGCTAAAAATATAAGCTTTTGTTTGTTTGTTTTCTCATCCAGCTACTGACACATTTCTGTCATATTTAACAGGATTACTTTCTTCCAGGGTTCCAGTCAGCAGCTTGACCTCTCCTCTTCCTCTTATCTGCGTTTTCCTAATTTCATTACACTCGGTAATCTTCCAGCTTCTCCTGCTTTCTGAGCATCATTTATTTTAATGTTCGGAGTGCTGGTAGCTGCTTACAGGAGCTTGTGCCTGCTGATGGTTGGGAACGAGTTCATGAACTTTTGAAAATGGCATCACCCCATCCTTTCATTAGGTCTCTAAAGATGCTCATTGAGGTTTGAAACATTAGTAAAAGTTAAATAGAGGTCAAGTCTTTTGCAAGGTGTCGTTTTCATTGTCCAGAAAGATTTGTTATAATTTCAGTTTCAGACATCAGTTTGTCTTCTTGCTGAACTGAACCACAGTAAGAGAAGTTTTCACCAGATTACTGCATCCCACTGCATCTTTCTTTCTTTTTTTAATGAGCTTGCTTCTCTGGCTCCCAAGGTGACACTCACTCTGATTGATCTCTGGAAACATCCTTTGTGCAGCTGCCAAAACCCGAGCTGCTTTTACCCCTAAAAACAGACTAGAGGCTTCAAGATGTCGCAGTAATTTAAAGTCTTAAAATCAGCCATTTTACTGGTACTTACTGTAAATTCAAGTGTTAAAAGTTATCAGCATTTGCAGAAACTTTGATTTTATCTGTATTGTGCTGAAGAAATATGAAGTGAAGCTGAACTGTGGCCTGGCTGTACTTTCATGTACGTACCAAAAGAGGGAGCAGCGAGTTAGTGTAACCTTGCATTTAATCAATAAAAAGCACATTCCTATTTACAGTGGCAGCCAAGGAAAAGGCTGGTAAACTGCTGCCCCCTGGTGGTGAAAGTTTTAGTCGTATTTCCCAGAACAAACACAAAAACCTTTAAACGACACACATCCTTGATCTCTTTTTTTGCTGTTAAGTGACAGCCAAAGAAACAATATCAGAGACAGCTGATTGTTTTTATTCATAATCATCTTCTGTACAAACTTGTGATGTTTAACAGTGTTTACCTGGTGATATGAAATGTTCTTACTGCAGTCTATAAGTGCTTTACAGTTCAGTGGTTCCACTTGTCTTGCTTCTGCCTACAGTGACTTTAATACCTGTAACCTCCTGCTACCTGGTCCTCGTTGTGCAGAACTAGTTAGTCCTCTAACACATGCTCATACATCAGGCAGTTGGAAACGCCTTGTTTTGTTTATTCACGTTTTCTGAAGAGGCTCTGGCGTGGACGAGTATTTAATCCTCAGGTTTCTGTGTCGGTGTGTCAAAATCAGTCGCTTTGATGTTTTTTTATATCTCTCACATTTTTATCTGATGTGACTGTAAATGAGCAAACTGTGCAATTTTTTTTGGCACTGTTGTTGTTGGAATAAAACCGCGAAAATGACTGTTTTTGTTTTTATTCTGTAGTGATGTGATTAGTTATTGTTACAAAAGCATCCTCGGGGCAGTAACAGCTGAACTTACCTTGAGGTATCCAGAGACTTGCTGAGACATCAGTGTGATTAAGATCGATGCTTCCCTGCTCATAAAATTTAAAATTTGGTATTCAAAAGATATTCATATGGAGGGCCAAAACTATCAAAATGAAGTATAAACTAATAAACAACACATTTTAGACATTTATTTTTATTTTATTTTTTGCAGTTTACTTTATTTTATCTATTGACTTCTCCATTGTATTTTCCTTTCAATAATTTTGATATTATTTCAATCCATCCTTACATACTGCTTCAGTCATACATGTGTTTTCTTTTGAACATCCATCTATTGAACTTTCTGTGTTTATAATTTGACAGTTTTTGTAAATCAGGGCGCAGCTGAAATAAGCTTTTATTGTGATTTTAATGTGACTAAAATTATTTTAAAAGTAGTGAATGATGATTAGTAGTAGTATTTCAGGCTATACCTATAACTGTTGATCACATATCAGCGTCTCACCGGAAAATACTCTTTACACTACACTTTCATGCAACACCAAAGATTAGTATGTAAGAGATGGGCATGAGGGCACTAACTAGTCAGTGAAGTCCTGTTAAAGCCTGAAATGCAGCGTTTTCTCCACAGTCATCTTAGCTTTTCAAACCAGCATACAGCCCTAAAGTATGCCCTGTTTTATCCTCCTTTTTAACTCTAATGGGAGCATAATTTGCAAAACATACATCATTCTGTATTAAATTAGACCTCAAACTGCAGACTTGAATCATAATGTCATGGATCAGGCCAGCTGAGGGCCATCTTCCCTACACAGCAGGATTATTTTTTTCAGCCAGAGCAGTCTCCCCCTGCTGGTCATCAAAGCCCATGCAGTTTTTAAGAGACCGGTTCACCGTTTCTGCATTACCTTCTTCTGTTTCAGTTTGGCACTCTTGCTGCACGCCTTCTATACAGTCACCAGAGGACTGTGTGTGCCTGCCATCACCTGTTTATCTACAATCTGAATCACATTATTAAAGGAACCAAGTCAGTGTTTCTACAAACTCCACTCAATTTTACTTAACAAAAAAAAAAGTCTCTAAAATGAAATCGGTTATACCTTAATGGCTACAGAGTTTTGGTGATACATACGGAGAGCTTCAGAGGCTGAAAGCAAAATAAATAAATACATAAAAATTTTAAGAAGTTTCTAATTTTTGAATATTTTCATAATTTATAACAAATTTTAAGCCTAATCATTTTTTGATGCATTTATTTAATTTTATTTAGTAGTTTATTACATTAAATTCGCATAAATGAACCCACCAAATATTACTTTCTTGGAAAGAAAAACAACTATATTAACAATATTTATTATTTATAACTGCTACAGATGTTTGGGTTTTTTTGCGGGGGGAGTAAAATTGTTATATACGTTTTTAGAGGCCCGTGAAACATGAATTTGTCATCTTGTGATATATTTTTAAATTTTATTATTCTTTGATTTTGTCAGACTTGGTCCTCTATAGAGCTTAAACGTTTTTAAATATAGTGCTTTAGTACTGTGTGTGTCTGTGGTGCAACTGTGGTGCAACTGTAGACAGGTAGACAACACTAAGCGCAGTCTCACTCTCTCTCTCGGTGGGACGTGTCCAGATTCACGCCCACTCTGGCATTTTCCCACATTAATATGCAGCGTATATACTGTACGTTATCGTCAGTCAAAAAACTACATCTCAGGCTCGATGATCCTCTGAAGAAATCCCTCCGCGCCCTGAAGAGGAGAAGTCGCTCCTCTGCAAACACCCTGCCGTTACGCCATCCTCCGGCAGGCTACGCTTTTCTCGTCCCTTCCTGGACTGACAGCAGCTGCTCAGCCCAGTCAGGTTTTGAGCATCTGCTGGGACTGCTGGGAGGACGTCGGCTCAGACTGCAGCGCACTGCGATGCAGAGAGGGGGGCACTGAGGCTGTGATGCCGGAGCTGTAATCCGTAAACCTGTGCGGACGGAGCGCAGGGTGGAGCTGGCGGAGTTCGTGCGCACACCTCTGGAAGCTGCTGCCGAAGAGGAGCCTCTGCAGCGCCGCAGCTTTGCACCGGGAACCCGCCTCGGTACGTGACTCCGAAACCGAAGCTGCCCCGGATCCCACAGGGAGGGGGGCTGTAGCGCGGCACCCCGCCCGTCTCGCCTCATTTGGACCGCACGGACCTGAGCCGTGATATTCGCGCACGGAACCCACCGAGCAGCCCGCACCTCTGCGCCAAAGGTAAGCAGCTCCGCGAGGCGCGGGGGCGCGTGCAAGCGCTCGTGGCTTCCAGCAGGCAACGAGAGCCTGTTGATGACGATGATGAAGGTGCTGCTTAGAGTAGCTGAACGCGCCGCTGAAGCGCCGCAGCACCGACTCCGCGCTGCTGTTCGATCGATTTCTGTGTCACGCGCGTGTCTCTGCACAGACGCGCAGAAAGGGAAAAATGACGTAGGGAATTCCCACAGTAATCCAATAGCGCGCGGCGACACCTGCACATTCCGCCAGTGCGGCGCGGCCTGCAGCCGCGCGCGGCCTCGCCAGCGGCGCGCGCGCGGACTGAAACGATTAAAGTTGGATGCGAGCCGTTATGTAACGTGATTCTGCTGACGCGGTTCGCCATGAGCGGGGGTTACCTCCACGTCCCCGCGGCTCGGGGGTGCTGCTCCCTGTTTACGTCCACGGCGGTTCAGCTCAGCCCGACGGGATCGATCTGAATCACAATCCATGAAAGTGCAAAAACATCACCTCGTGTGTCTCTGCACTAATGAAGTCCTCACCTGTTTATTTAAGGCAGAAGGTATTGGGGACATGTGGCAACATGTGGGCTTGAATACTCAGTCTACGTTTAATTTACCTGATGTAATTTTACATGCACATTTGAATTTGTCTGTTTAATCCGTAGAGGATAAAGTTGTTGTTTCTCACACTCACAACAACTCCGTCACCACTGGATGTAGCTCAGGATGCTGTAGGGCCACAAGGCTTACCTCTTTATGTAAGACTGTACATGATTTTTATGCCTCCTCCCCCTGTCCCACACACTGAGGCACTGCTGCACTCTTTGAGTGGCTCAGATATTCAAAATTCAGTATTTCAGGGAATGCCAAACCTTTAATTTGCATCATCAAAGATACAAAATTCGTTTAGTAAATTATACTCTTATACTTGTTGTCCCACATTTACTTTCTTGTCATTTGGTCACACTGGTACACTGCCATGGTGTGCCATTTTGTGGCCCACAATGGGGGCTACCACATTAGCTACACACACCTTCAGAGTGGTCCAGTCTGACAGTGTAGATGCACCAGCAGTGGGTTTAGTGGATCAGTGTTGAACACCAATGCTCCAGAAAGGGTCAGGGTTAGAAATGTGTTTCTAGTCCACGAAATAAATTGTGGTTGAAGAGTGTGGGACAATACATGAATGATGAATCACATGAGTCACATTTAACGACGTGATAAACACAAACATTCATGTTTCCATCACTGGTTTGTGGGATAAGCGAGCGGTGACAATTTTATGATAGAAACTAGTTATTTTCTGGGTCAGCTTCCAGTGTGATGATGAGAGGCAGTTTTGATTATGTAGCTTCACATCACAGCTTAGCAAAAAGCCTTTCTGACTTTCAGCCATCAGGTAGGTAAACAACCCCACAGCAGAGTTATACTGTCCCATTCAGGCCCCAATCCCCCCATAGTTCCCCCTTTAATTTCAACATATTTGTGGTCCTAATTGAGTTTTGCTGTTGTGGAGCCTGCAGTGTCTTTGCTAAATTCCCCTTTGGGAGCAACTTTATTATAAATTGTTTATGCTTTGATCTGCTTTCAAGGTAGGGGTTTGGATGAAATCTGCAAAGCTGCAAGCACGCTCAGCTTTCTCAAAAATCTGATACTTGAAACAGATGCGTTACCCGAGATGAACTGGAACATGCAGAATTTCTGTTTTGCTCTTGCAAAGAAAAGAAAATTTCCTCACTTGACAGAATTTGACGAGGTTATGGGGGGAGGTTTGGTCCTGATATCTGTCCTGACTGAGACCCTACAGAGTCTTTAATGTTAGCTGCACGTAGGTCTACTGACTGAGGACTCAGTATACAAAGTAATTTGTAAAAGTGATGTGGAAAAACAGCATAAACTATCTTTTTGGTTGTTTCAGTTCTACACATGCCTCTTAAATAAAGTACTGTAGTAAATGCATGTGTGTTGTAATTGTTCTTCGAAAGCATATTAATATGGGATAAGTGTGATTTTCCCACTTTAATATGAACTGGATACACAGTAGATTATGATTGGTGAAAAAAATAAAGCAGATGTGCTGCAGTTTGGAGAGAAAACCCCAACAATCAGATCATTTCCTGTTAGCAGCACTTAGTGACTGTAGGGAAGAAGAACTTCCTTTTAACAGGAAGAGACTGACAACAGAGCTGGGATCATGAAAGGACAGCCATGTACTGTGACATGCTGGGGATGTGAGAGGAAGATGAAAAGAAAAAAGGCAAGCATAGAGAGACCATGAATAACAAACAGATGATATGGCTTTTTGTTTTGTTGTCTACCTCACTTCCTGTTTATTTTGAAATCTTAAATGCGCTTTAGTGAAGTCATGCTTTAATGAGGTCATGTCATTTTTCTTCTATACCTCTCTATCTTAGACCGTATGTTAAAAATGGCTACTGTGACATCACCTTTTGGTTTTAGACTCCATATCTTGAATCATTTAGTCTGCCACCATGTTGTCTTTTTTGGAGCCAGAGTTGACCATTTCTGGACGAGGGGTTGGAGTGCTAAGTTATCAGCTAATGCTACCAAGCTTGGTTATCAGTCTGCATCTATAAACTGGACAGGGTTATGTGCAGTCACAGATATCTACAAATTAAAGATAAGTATAAGACTGGAGGTCTCCTGATGTTAAAGAGGGAGTTCTTCCACCCCACAGTCTCCTAA